GAGAGAGAGAGAGAGAGAGAGAGAGAGAGAGAGAGAGAATTTGTCGATAATGGTATATGTACAATCTGTTGTTCTAATATGCCGACCGTAAAGTATTTTAACTTATAATCATATTTTTACACATATGATGATTATTTACTTAGTGTAATCCAAACGTAAATGATGTCAAGACAGAGTTAAACGAAGGGGCTAATAAAAGAAGCTTGCTATTCCGATTTTTGAAGACCATTGCATGCAATTTGATTTGGGAGACGACAAACACCTGAAAATCAACGTAAGATAATAAAAGAAAGAGAGAGTATAAGTTCAGCGAATATTTTTTCTCACGAGAGTTGAAGATGAGAATTTTATTTAGTTAGAAACTGTTAAATAATTTGTAACTGTTAAATAATTTATGAAACTATCAAATAATTGGTGAAACTGTTAAATACTTTGTGTAACTGTTCAATGTCTTTTTTCGAATCGTTACCTGTGCGATTGGAACTGTAGTTTTGGTTCACAACAAGTTGCATCTTCGTTGCAAGTTGCGTATTTACAGCAGTTCGTTGCGGTGGTTGTTGCATGCTAGCAGCCCCGTGCGGCGATTGCTGCTGCAAATTGGCAAGATGCGACGAGACTTGCTGTTGGGTTTTCATTTGGGTATTTATGGAATTTGACCTCTGGTTCATCATCGAAGTTTGTGGTACATTGTATTGCGAGACATTGTGATGCGGCAAGGAAGTGGCCATCGTGTGCTTGGATCGTGCCGGATTGCCGTACACATTCGAGGCCGTTCTATGCTGTTGCGGTTGTTGAAATTCCGCATTTCCCGTATATTGGAACTGAGTGCTGTTCGGGGTATTGTTACCTTTACCGCCTTTCACTATAGGTCGTCCTGAAATTTAAATTTTTCGTGAAATAATTTTGTCAATGGCTTTGACCTTAAATTCAAACTGATTAGTTAGTATTTACTCTCTGACCGACTATGTTATTTTAATAACTGACATGGGATTCACATAAGAGAGAAAAGAACGATATATTCGATACAACGTTGTGAAAAATGGAAAAAATCATACCTGGGTGTTGCTTAAGCGATGGATTCGACCATGTCGATTGAGCAGATTGTGGTCGCATCGTGGTATGTCTCGGGAGAACTCCCTGTGTAAGTAACTGAACTGCAGATTGCATTTGTTGCATCTGAGAAGCCTGACTTTGTGTAGACAATTTTGATGGATCATTGCTGCTTCCTGTATTTAGATACAAAACAATTTCATCTTGAGTAAATTTAGAAAAAACGTTATTAAAAATATTAAAGAATCGGTGCCAATTTCTTTATGATGTCAAAGATTTGATTGTTAATGACACATTTAGTCATATAGATAAATATCTTTTATAGAATTCGAATAAAAAGCTAAATTTGTAAATTTACGAACTAAATATTGTTTTTACTTGAAAAATATATGTATCATGTAAAATCTTATCTATATATATCATATAAATATCTTTCTATTATATTATTTATGTGAAATTTTATCTTATATATATACAAGGATCACTTTTTGTTACACTGTAATAGTCCTACAATAATATATACTTATTGTTTATATATTAGAGATTTATTTCATGCAAAACATAATCGCATGCAATTTTAGAAAGCACAAAAATCAAGCTAGCAAAACATAATTGAAAGAATTAAAGGTATATATAAACTCATGCATGAGAGAAATGTAATAGAATGTTGATAGCAGGAGAAAATGTGTGTAAAAGAAAAGTTGAAGCGTATAAGATGGATTGATAAGGCCTTTTATTATTAAAAAAAAAAAAACTATTTCAATATGAGATATTAGAGTGTAGTAAATCTATATTAAGAAACGAAGAGTTTGTTTTATAAAGTGCTTGAATTTTTATCTCCGCATATAAAATGAAAATATACTTCTAAACATCTGTCAGACACCAGAGATATAAATCTCCAAGCATTTACACTCGAGACTCAAGCGAAAAACAAAATAGCTGCCCTTCATTATAATGCAAAAATAATGGAAACAAAAAAATTTTTTTTGCTCTGTGAAAGAATTTTATGAAATATCAATGTGCACTCTAAAACTTGACAATGAGACTTTCTCTCCACAAAATGCACCCGGCGCAAGACATTAAACATTTTCGTGGATTACGAGCGGAGTAGTGTTGTGTGAATCAATATTTTCTAATGGACTTTCTATTTCGTCTGATGATGCGAATGCTGTTGCTTTCTCAGTTTCGTCTACGAGCGTTTCTTGCTCGGATGATGTTTTTAGTATCTCATCAAGGGAAATAAGGCTGTTATTGTTGGTATCATTATCGTCGTCTATTACGCTAGATTTTTCCACCTTTGTGTCATCGCTTTCATTCGCGTTAATATCGAGGAGAACACTTTCCTTCTTCGTTACGGTAACATTCAAATTGCTGTCTGTATCTTGTTTCGGCTCTAACGAATACAAATACTTGGTCTTTAAAGCCGATTCCTCCGGATCGACAGTGGTATTGTTGTCCGTGCGATTGACAATGACGGAGTGTAAGAAAATCATTTTAAGAGTTTCATTTTGCACTTGATCGACAGAATTTGAAAATTTAGATAGATTGTCAGAAGGTGTGATTAAACAATCTTGAGAAATACGAGAATGATTACTATTTCCATCGATTGCAGTGGGAATGGAAGTTGTTTCTACTTGATGAAATTGATTCGCACCGTCAGGTTCCTTATCAGCGGTCATTTTACGTAAAACGGATGTCGGAGTGAAAGCAAGCGGCGTTGGACTCATTGTTTGCTTAGCTGGTGAGTTAACGGGACTTGATGAGCGTTGCTGAACTTGCTGTTGCTGCTGTTGCTGTTGTTGCTGCTGATCCTGCCGCTTGCGGTAATTCTCGCGCTGCTCCTCCAATTTTTTCTTGATTAAAACATTTTGTATTATAGATTGAGTGTGCATAACGATTTCCCTTGGCGACGGCACTCTATGCGGTATCACTGTTATCATAATAATAATTTTATATATTAGAATTAGTTTATGTATTTTTCTTAATTTTTTAATCTAAGGAATAGTTTGTAGGAGCGACAACTTATAAAAGATATTACAATATATGTCATTTACTTTCTTCATGTAACTTTAGAAAGTTTTATATTTATATATACATCGTGTAAATTTCCACTAAAACTACTTCTACATGTAAAAAAACATGTGAAAATAACAATATAATGAGATTTACTGTATTTACTACATTACCTGGATGCTGTACTGTTAAAGTACTAGGACTAGCTGCCAAATTTGGTGATATTATTGGAGGTGGACAATAAGCTGCATTCCAAACACGATACAAGATCATTCAGTTTGGCAAAACTTCCAGCTTTCAATTTTTTAATTGTCGTTTAAAGGAAATTATTTTGTTTTCAAATAATAATTATGCAGAACGACTCACCATTGTTCATGGGAGATGGGATTCTTTGTTGCTGCTGCTGCTGCTGATACAGCATCTGTTGCAGCATGTGATCCTGCGGTGTGGGGACTGTAGGATGTGAATGCGGACTCGCAGTACGTGGTGTAGTACCACCGTACATTTTCAAAATATTCACTAGTACTTCTCGGTGACGATGCTGCATCACAGGATTCTAGCGATGCAATGCGATTGATTATAAAATAGTTGCTCACATTAGATATTCCGCAATAGATATCTGTAGAATATAGTGGAGAACTCACTTGCAACTGCTGTATGAGATGTTGCCTGGTGATCTCTCCTTGCTGCAGACCCTGAATAATCGCTTGAGCTTCCGGCCGTTGTAGGAGCTCCTGACTTGAAGGGATATTATTTAACATCATCTGCATATCCGCTGGTACAGGACTCATACCCAGTATTCGTTGACCACCCATCATCATTGACAGCATATCGGAATGTCGTTGTTTCTGTTGTTGTTGTTGTTGTTGCTGTTGTTGCTGCTGCTGTTGCTGTTGCTATTAACAACGTTCATGTATCGTTCCCAAAAGCTCACGATGTGTTAGCCAAGTCGAATAAATAGTAGTCATATTATACCTGTATTTGCAAGACTTTGATTAGATTCTCATGTTGCATCTGAGCCTGGTGCGAATGTTGAGCAGGGCCAAGAGGACCGACATGATTGAACGTTGAAGTATGAATTGGTTCCGCAATCGCCGGGTGTTGCTGATGCGGCATCGGTGGTTGAGGCTTTAGTTGGGAATTAAATAGCTGAGAAAATAACAATAAAAAAAACAGATGATATTATATGTGCAAATGCGTGCTCATGTAAAATAATAAGGAATTCAAATTTACCTGCATTAACGTCACAGGTTGTTTCTGCGCAATAGGTCCGTTAGCTGCAGGTACAGCTTGTCCTCCGGTTACTTGAGCAAGCTAAATCATTCGCATAATGGCATTAATTTAATGACACAAATTAGAATCTCGCAAGTAATTCGAGTTTTTAAGTGAGACATATTATTGAGTACATTGACGTACCAGTTTTTTAAAAGCAGAGAGGTCCTCAGTCTTATTTACACGGGGCGTTTCAGTCGAGGTTGCAGGTGGAGGAGCGCCGCCCCGCATGCGTGCTTCTAATTCTTCCAAACTGTGCACAACTTTTCCACCAACTTCTAAAAGAAGTCCACATCCTTCATGCTTATGCGATCCGCCTTTATGTGGCCTGATCTCGCCTGTCTTACCCAAATCTTTAATGGTGCAGTTCTTCACCAAAGGTGCCATCGTGTTAACCGCGTCCCCTTGGCCATTTTGATTTGGCTTGTTGCCACGATGCAACATTTCGAGTAGTTTGACATTGGTTGTACCAGCATTGTTATTGCTTGTCGTGTTGGCCGGAGAAATTGGAGTGAAGTAGGCGTTCGATTCCGTTACCGACGGTATTTGAATGTTCGGCTCAGTGATATCGTTTAGTAGATTGTTCAATAACTCGTCATGTATGGAAGCTCTACGACTATCCGCCTGTTGAACCGGACTGTCTCTTTTGAACCACTGACTGAAGCGGGAACAGGTGCCGCCATTTGAGCCAACCCCGTTCTGCGAATAAAGAGGATTTATTTAAGAGTAGTCTGACACACAGAAGCAAAATTATACAGATATTCTCAAGGAATAACACAACGGCTCAGAAAAATTGAGCGAGACATTCACCGTCAACAATCCTGAGACACCGGGGAATGTATCGGACTTCAGGAACTCATCCAGGTTGAAATCGGGATGCGAACCCTCTTGATTCTTATTAGCGGCCGGGATATCCGTCGTTTCGGCTATCGGCTCGTTCACAGTGTTCTCGCTAGCTTCATTTTCTTTTTGCGTGATGGACGACTGCTCGGCCTGCTCGGAAATCGGGGAATGCGGCGCCGGTATCGCATTCATCGACTGATCCATGGCGGTCGGGGTGCTGCGTCCCTTCGGGCCGGACGAGTTCTCGTTTGGTTTATCGTCCTTCTCCGTCGCGTTCTTCTTGGCACGTTTTTTCTGTGCGAGAGTCTGTTTCTTATTCTTGCTATTGTTGGTATTGCCGCTGCTGTTGACCGCCTTCTCCTCCGGGATATCCTCAAAGCCTCTCAGCTCGATCGTGTCATGCTGAGACGTTGGCCCGGAGCTAAACCACTCGGGCTCGTCCGTATCACGATTGTCACTGTAAGTCCGTCGACGATCGTTACCGAATCTCTTATCACGTCCGCGATCTTTGTCGCGCTCCTGAACCTGGTGGTTGCGCTCATTACGCTCCACTCCCCGGTCGCGGTCGCGTTCCCTCTCGCGATCCCCATAATCCCGACCGAACGATCGCCGCTCGAATCTCTCGTCTCGGTCACGCAGGTTGTCGCGGTCGCGATCCCTGTCCCGTATAATACTATCTCGCTCTTTCCCATCGCGATTATCTCGATTGTCACGATCACGCAGAGAACCACCGACGCCGGCACCCGACCTGAAGCCGTAATCCGCGCGCTCGGGTTCGATCTTTTCGTTTTCGGGCCTAAAGTCCCATATATCCCGCGTCAGAATTCTCCCGCTGCCAATTCGACGAACGGGTTCTCGATGGCTGACCTGCAAAGTATTTCCTTTTTGTTATATATGATTTCGCGCGTGTACGTGTGCGTTTGTGTTTATAAACAGAACACACGAAGAAGTGCAGACGGAGATAAATAATGACGTGCTTTTATCTCTTTTTCTTTCTGTATCTTTCTCTTTTCGATAAAGAGAATCTATGGTAGGACGAGCGTGTTACCTCCGTTTTCCCGATCGGGCTCTCAGGACGCCGACTCGACGGCTGATTCACGTTGACGAAACAGCCTGAATTAAAGCTCCTCCGTTGCGGGCTCAAAACGATGCCGTCTTGTTCCTTGCGTATTCGGTCCCGTGGGTCGCCGTTGTTACGTCGCTTACTATGATTCTCAGTGATTTGATCACCACGTCCAGTCTTTTCTTCCTTCGGGGGTGTATCACTGCGCTTTCTGTCCGAATGCCAACGTTCGGGATCCCAGACGCCACGTGAGCTGTGTGAGCGTAACAATCAAAAACAAGTCTTGATCAGCAAGAGTAACGACGAGTTACAACGCGACAAACAAACGAATTAAACCGTGCTAACGTACTTGTTGTAAGCGATGTCTAAAAATGCAGGCCTACGTTTGGATAATCGCAGATTTTTTATCAGCATCAGTTCCTCCTGAATACAAAAGCGTTATGATGTAACACGTGATATATAATATTACATGTAATATTAAGGACATGTAATATTTTACGTATATAAAATGTTAATTATATATATATGTATATACGTAATATTATATGTCGATGAAGACAGGGGGCTTTCGCGAGCACTCGCGGCGAAAAAGCCTGAATAATATTTACGAGAGTGACATTTACCCGAGAATATTGAAACTGAGGTCTAGAACGGCCTATTTCCATGATCGAAGCGTCAGTCACCTCCCCAGCTACCGACATCGATATAATCGCTTCATCTCCTGTAACATGCAACAGAAATCAAATAATTGCATTATCATCACAAACAAACTGTACGCTCGCGACATCATGAGGCACCGTGAGATCCAATTCGTGTGAATTCAGGACGTTTAAGTGAAAACGCCCAAGAGCGGCGCGCGACTTAAGCCTCGGTGATTTTCAGTCGACGACCGCCGAGAACACGTGGTAGTCGGGAAAGCCCGGCAGAACGAGAGGTCATACTTACGGAAAGTCACCCGTTTCAGAGAATTGACCGATTTGTTTTTCCGGTACCACCGGCAAGACCTGGTCTGCGTGACCAAGGTGGCGTCTAAGAACGGGGACCCGGTCGGCCCAACCAACGGACGCTTTCGCGGTCGCCGATACCAGTTGGAGCCGATAATGCAATTGGTGGTGTAGAGTTTCATATTTTTAGCGAGGAACTAAACGCGCGCGCGCGCACGCGACGACGACGACACACAAAAGTCTTTTCTGTCCTGCGTCAGGTCGTCTCAACTCTCTTTTTCTCTCTCTCTCTTTCTTCGATCTAACCGTCGCACTTCTGTTTCCTCTACGCGACTGTCTCGGTGCGAATGTAAACAAACAGATAAAGGGCAAACGGGCAACGAATTTCCGTTCAAGTTCGTTCACGGATACACTTCGGTCCGTGAGTCAATTAGAAAAGAGATCCTCTCTCCCAATAGAAAAATTCGTTAAAATCTTTCCCTTTCGAGACTCGACAGTAAAATACCGACGGGATCGGAATAATCGATTGTTCCCTCTTTGATTGGCCTTTTGAAAAGTAACTCTGACGACACTGGTGTATCCTTTCGGCAGACTCAAAGACAACAAGCTCTTTTTTCTCTCTCCCGTTCCTCTTCGTGAAAAGAAGAAATGTCGAACAGCGCCCGGTTTTTTAAATATACGTTGTGGAATAACTGATATCCGTCAACGAGATGACTCTTTGCTGTTGAAATAACAACTCTTTCTCTCTCTTTTTCTATAAATGTGTGTGTGTATGTATGTGTGTGTGTATGTGTGTCCACTGGCTATATCACTCACGCAACTCGGTCCTGTAGAAACGTAAGTAACAGTTGGGTAAGAAGGTACAGTGCAGACTGATAAATTCAAACTATCGTCGGACAAGATGAGAGAATCCGGCAAACCAATCAACGTCTACCTGAACAGATCCTAGACAAACGGATATTTGATTGGCTAAAACGAGACACTTTAAACGTTAACTGATTCTTATCACTAAGGAGCCCTCTCGAGATTGTAATCGTCCCACAAACACGAATAAAAGCTAGTTCCCGATTTGTTGACTCCTGCTGATTATCCTGACTACATGCAACATCACAATTTTGGTCACCTATCGGTGCACCTGATCGAAGAGTACTCCACGAGATATCGTCAAATGATGCTGCCAGTTATGGAAATGCCACGACTGACAGCTGACAGGCGAGGTTCACGTTCTCCTGCAACGAGGTCTCGCCGTGCGGAAGCGATATACATACAAACGGATTTGTCCGTTTTAATCTGCGCTCTCTTTCAATTTCCATTCCTTTTTCCCCTCCCGATGCTCGATGATGAACAGGTTATCTCGTTAGGACCACAGAAAGCGCCGCGTTGTAACGTTAATAGGCAAGAACGAATCTATTCTTGACGACGGGGATGAAGTGCAGCGTCGCGTAAGGTTATCCCCGACGAGAGAATCGAGATCTCGCGGAACCGTGATCGATACACGGTAATGTTTGTAAAGTAAACAGGGAAAATGTGTTATTTTTTTAAAAGGAATAAGATAATATGATCAGCTAAACATACCCTCGTTCTTCTTCTTCTTCATCGTCGTTGTCGCTGTGATCGTAGTCGTCGTCGTCATCGTGTTCGTAGCCGTCGTAGTCGCCGTGATCGTAATAGTAGATATCGCCGTCATCGTGGTCGTCGTTGTTGCCGTCGTCGTCGTCGTCGTCGTCGTCGCCGTCGCCGTCGCCGTCGACGACGGCGGCTGCTTGTCACTTGTCACAGGCTCCAAAGACATCGCGTCGTCGTCGCCGCTGCCGACGCTCCTGCTGCTGCTGTTGTTGGTCACGTCGATTTTTGTTCACCCTCTGAGTGGATAAGTGCGTCTTGCGGACTCTGATCCCGTTGTCTTTTCTTCGATTTTTTTAGATCCTCTTAGATCCTTTATTCGATCTATCTACGTGCCCGTATGCACTACACACGAAGTAGCGATACGAGCATACACGCACACACACAAAATACACACTGCACAACACACAAAAGAGAAAGAGAGAGAGAGAGAGTATGTGCGCGCGAGCGCGGCCGCTGGCTAAGCTCGCTCGCTCGCTCACTTATTTGACACTCATACACGCGCACAAGGAGACACACGCCTAGTTATATATGGTGTGTGTATATATATATATATGTATATATTGCTTAGTACTGTTTAATATCACAGACTGGTTCTTTTTCCTTTCTACAAGTCTTGACAGCACGGTTAGCGATCGACAAAGCCTCGACAGGGCAGTGTGACTTCTCTCGCTCGTTTTGACGAAGTGTTGAACGAAATGAAGGTATGAGAAGGAAGAGGAGAGGAAGGAAGAGGATATATGAGAAAGAGAGACAAAGAGAGAGAGAAACGGCAGAAGGGAGGCGGGGAAAAGCAAGGAATGAGTGAGTGAGAGAGCGAGCGAGAGAGAGAAAGAGAGAGAGGGGAAGAGAAAAACGGGGAGAGAAAGAGATGTTTACGGGGTACTGAAAAAGTTTACACGCGAAGCTGGACGAACGGATACAAGCTTGGCGGCTCGACGGGTACGCGATCACACGATTTTGCCAGCATGTGTCACCAGAAAACAATCATGTCAGTCACAATCCGTGGCGATTTTCCCTCGCTGCCGATCGTCGTTAGTCCATCGATCTGTATCACGCACAACTAAAAAACTCGTACACACACGCACGGCACTTGGCTGTCGCTCGCGCTGGCTATGCAAAAATAGAAAATGGCGCACGATCCCCACTTCCTGCTGTTGTTTCTCGTTGCCACTGCGATTACCTCGACGCAACGTGCGTTTCCCTACCGAGGAGATCGGGATGAGGAGATGCAGCTTTGCAGCACGAGTTTCTGGAGCGCGAAAGAAACAAATGGACGACATGTAAGAGACGATGTCACCGATAAGGATTTACCAACCAATTGTATACATCCGACACACGACTCGCAGCGCGCAGAACGTATGCACGGAGAAACCGACCAATCGCGCGCTCAATACCGAATATCGCGTAACGCCATATTGCGATTCCTTTAGCTTTGACGGCCGATTGGTCGATCCTGACCACCGGCATATGAATATATAGACGGAGCATTAGGGCTGCGTTCGAAAACATCACTCTATCGTGTGTTTTTTGTGATTTCAGTGGGAAAGTAGTGAGGGTACCGTGTGCCTACGTGTGTCGAGTGTTTCCGAACGCTTTTCAGTGTGACTTTTAGTGTAAACTAGGGTTCTCTGTTTTCTGTTTCTATACTGTGAAGTAATGCGATAACGAAAAGGTTATTAGTTTGTTCTTTTCAGCTTCATCGTTTCTCACTCTAATGGCTCCTGCACACAGGACGCGGTAATGTTTGCTGCGCGGCGGAAGTTCGCACGAAAGCCAATCAATATGCTGCTTTACGTAATAACCTTCTAGCTCTTACGGAAAAACAACATATTGATTGGCTGTCGCAAGGACTTTCGCCGCGCGACAACCATTACCGCGTCCTGTGTGCAGTAGCCATAACTTATTGCACTAATTCAGCAGTGCAACTGAAAAGAACAAACCATACGACGTAGTAACTAGTAATTCACTAATTCACATCGACTTCCCTCGCTTTTTTGTCGAGTGGTTTGGTGGCACACGATGTGCCTCTCTCTCCGTTTCCGAACGATACACATGAGTGCACACCGAGCCACACTGAGACCGGTATTCATAGTCCGATCTTATATTTAAGATCATCTTAAGTACTGTCTTAAGATGTCATGAACCAATTACAGAGCCGCATCTTAAGACATTACTTAAGACGATTTTGAAATAAGATTCGACTATGAATGGGTACGTTCAGATTCCCTACCCGGGAGCACTCTAATACTAGAAGTGCTATAGTATATGTAACATATACTATAGTGTTTCTAGTAATAGAGTGCACCCGGGTAGGGAATCTGAACGCACCCAATACTGGCCTGAGTGTTTCCGAACGGCTATCGTCTAGTAGTGTGCACACAGTGTGTGTTTCCGAACGTAGCCTAGTTCAGCGAGTAGTCAGTTTCGGGCTAAGGGGACGAGTGTATTTCTATATATCCGTAGTCGGAAAAGTTGTCTAGTTTTTTGTAAGTTTCGGAATTTATCTTTCTTGTCTGAGAAAGCTCTTTTATTGAAAAATAAATTCTTCCATTGGACAAAAAGAATTGATTCCTAAAATTACAAAAAAACCAGACAATCTTTTCAACCATCAATATAGGCGATTTTTGGCGATCGTTTGGTACATGTACCAGGTTGTTATTGGGCAAGTTTACATAAAAAATTTAATATATATATTAAATATTTATACAGCACAGATATTTAAAATATCTTCCAGAGATATCCAGATATCTCTGCGAAGTCTCTAGAATTGTATTTTGGACATTTATATTGTGCATATATTTAGTACATATATTAAATGTTTAATGTAAATTAGGCTAATGACAACCAGGTACATGTACCAAACGATCGCCAAAAATCGCCTTATACAGGGTGTCAGAAAATTGACGAGCGCACATGTGCACGGACGCACATACGGAGCTACCATTTCCATATACCAAACGGTCCATCTCTCTGGCCTATAAGATAGGCTCGCGAGCAATCGTCCATTTTTTTTGCCGGCGAGCCATATGTCCCGCCTGCCTCGTCGCCGCGCTCTGATATGTCCAACCATTTTAATTAATATCTCGAAATTTTACGTGGTTGTTTGAAAAATGACCTCTATAATTTTTGTTCATTTATCTGCTCTACTTATATTTTTTTTTTGGCACATCTTACGCAGGACACCCTGTATATTGAAGTGTTTAGTAAAAAGTAAAAATAAATTCAGAAGATATAAGAGAGACCTGTGTGGTTCTACTACTTTATTACTATTCTACTATTTATTTTAATTGAAGTTAACTCATTAATCTATCTAGACAAACTTGCGTAATCACATATTGTATATATGCAATAATACATATATGTATAATGGGCCTTGTACAATAAGTTATAAATCATAAGCTATAGGCAAAAATTGACCAACCACAGTCGATTATTTTTTTTAAATAATTATTTTTTTAAGGAAACTAACCTATCATGATCCGTACAATAAAATATGATGTTTCTTAAACCCGTGTTACTACGGGATAAGGAACGTCTACATTGGAAGTAAGCAATAAGAAGTAGGAAGTAAGAATAAAAATTGACCAATCATAGTTGATTATTCTTCTCACATTCGACTGTGGTTGGTCAATTTCTTACTCTTACTTCCTACTTCTTGCTATTTACTTCCAATGTAGACGTCCCTTGAGAGATAGAGGATTGCTTCTTTTTCTTCTTTAAAATGACCCGGAATTCCTATTTCATTAGCCAATCTCATTAAATAGAGGATTGCGAATTGAAGATAAAATTTTTTATTATACTAGTTCAGAAGTTCTTCAAAATAATGACAAACAGACCTATGATCTGTTCTTTTTAGCTGCATTGCTGAATTAGTACCATAAGTTAGAGTGAAACAAATATACTTTCTCTCACTCTAACTTATTGCGTTAGTCCATCAGTGCAACTAAAAAGAACAAAACAATTGTTTCACAGTCAAATTTTAACAATGGCTGCATTCAGTAGACTCAACAGTTGCACAACAGTTGAGTAATTTGTCAATGTAATTGGTCTAGATTTAGGGATCTAATAGCAAGAACCAATAATCGTTGATTGCTCACTGAGCGCTTTTTCTACTGAATGCGCCCAATGGGTGCATTCAGCGGAAAAAGCGCTCAGGGTGCAAACTTATGCAGCGGAATGCGGAACGAGAGCGGAATCACGAGCGTTCCACAGTTTTCGCTCATGATTGTTTCCGCTTATGATTTCCGCTCTCATTTCGCGCTCCGCTATTCCGCTGCATGGGTTTGCATCCTCAATGAGCAATCAGCAATTATTATTTCTTACTGTTAGATCCCTAAATCTAGACCATTTACATTGACGAATTGCTCAATTGTTGTGCAACTGTTGTGTTCGCTGAACGCATCCAATATTTGCAGATCATAGTGACCTCAAGCGGAATTCAACGGAGTCATTTTCCTAATAGTCTTTTTTCATATGTGGTAAAAAAGCCACTGAGTACAGGCCTGGAACCATAGAGAGAGAGAGAGAGAGAGAAAGAGAGAAACGGAGTCATTTAACCTATCAATTGCTATGCGTTTTATTAAATCATAGAATTTAAGAATAAAAAAATACGTTTAATATTTGTAACAAAATAAAATAAAAAGTCTATAGACTATTTAATTTATTTATCGTAATGCGAAATTTTTTTACGCGCACTATTCCATCAGTCATGTTATGTAGTAAGTGTAATGTTATGTTGAATAAATGTTGAATAAAGATAAATTTGTTTTTTTTAATTAAACAACAATATTGATACCACAGAAAAAGCTAGAGAAATATGTCAAAATATCATTACTCTTTGTAGCGCATTTGTATAAGTCGAGTCTTGCCTTTGTTCCAAAATGTAATCCAGTAAAAACAGAGGATGTAATGAAACTGAGAGAATTTATTAACAAACATCATCAACTGTGCATATTAACCGGAGCAGGAATATCTACAGAAAGTGGTATTCCTGACTATAGATCAGCGGAAGTCGGACTTTATGCACGTAGCGATCGTAGACCTGTTCTCTATAAAGAGTTTTGTGACAGCGAAAGAACCAGAAGACGATACTGGGCCAGAAATTTTGTTGGTTGGCCAAGGTTTATCTTTTACATTTTACATTAACACATTTATTCGGGAAAGTGGCAAGTAGAAGTTAACAAATTAACATTTTTTAATAGTTATACTCTTGCAGGTTTTCATCTCTCAAACCAAATGTTACACATATAGTACTACAAGATTTGGAATATCTTGAAAAGGTAGGATGTATTATTACACAAAATGTAGATAATTTACATTCAAAGGCAGGAAGTAAAAAGATAATAGAACTACATGGAACAGCATTCAGAGTGATGTGTCTTAATTGCAATCATAAAATATGTAGATATGAACTTCAAAAGCTTTTCCAGGAACTTAATCCATCTATGATTGCAACAACTCAAATGATAAGACCAGATGGAGATGTAGAGTTATCACAGGTATTATATATAGTACATATGTATGTACCTCTTTGTAATTTCTGATATATCTTTTTAACAAAATACATTTGACAGGAACAAGTAGAAGGCTTTAATGTTCCAGCTTGTGGTAACTGTGGGGGTGTTTTGAAGCCAGATATTGTGTTTTTTGGTGATAATGTGCCACATGATATAGTGCAGAATGTGAAAGCTAATGTAGAGAATTTGGATGCTCTACTAATTTTGGGTACAAGTCTTAGTACCTTTTCTGCATACAGAATTGTATTGCAAGCAATCAATGCCAATAAACCAATAGCAATAATAAATATTGGCAAAACTAGAGCCGATGAATTAGTAAACTTGAAAGTGGAGGGAAGATGTGGAGATATTTTACCAAAAGTTTGGCAATGCCAAATTCCAAACAGTTTAATGAGATAATGATAGGTGTAAATAATTTTTTAAATGTAACTTGTGTGCATAGTCACTTATTCAATTGTTGAATTTGAAGAGAATATTTATCAAGGAATTACATGTATTCTAATATATATTATTAATAATATATATCATGTATATACGTTTTTTAATGATACCAAAATCAAGGATACAATAAACACTCTTGTTGAAAAATTGCATATTTCTTTCATTTAATTATGCAAATAGTTCTTCAAACGTTACAAATAAATAAAGTTTTTTTAATGGGAAGACTTTGCTTCCTTTGCATTTTGAAGACTTTGAGTGATGTATAATTTTGCTAAGCTTTGAGCACAGAATTGCGAAATGTGCTCACTATAAGTGTTAATTTGTCCAGCAACTATCATCGGATTCAATCTTGGTGGAACCGGCAGAGGTCTCATCTGCTTATTAATATCATCTTCAGGCAGTAGAGGTTCATCCTTCGCAGCTCTGACAGCATTCTCTTGAGCTCTTTTGGCCAAGAGTCTGTTCTTATCCTGTTGTTGCCGAAGTACCAATTGTTGATATCTATTGAACTTCATAGCTTCTTGGTTCAATTCATCCACTCGATCCATCAAACATCTCAACTGGTTCTCCAACACAGTAGCTGTTCCAAGATCCAAATACTTGGTACCCTGCTCCTCAGGAATCATCTCGTCCAACTCTGACATCATGATATTCGTCAAATTACTGTTTTTTATAACTACTGGAATTTCAACAAAAAGACTTTCGTATCCAATCTTCAAGGTACGCAAAGCTTCAGGGGTAAACTCATTTTCCTTATACATTTGTATGGCTTGTGGAGTAAGTCGATAAGCCTTGAGAGTCAGGAAACCTCTGGCAGACTTAGCTGTGTCATATATAAGCACAACTGATTCTTCAATAGAAGTTTGATAGTGATATTGTGACTCTAACAGAGATAAATTCAAAAAGTTCCCAACATCTGCACTTTGGTACCAACCGACATGGAAGTGATCAACGTTCACCCTTTGGATTAATAATTAATAAGTGAAAAAATAATATTCTTAACTTATAAGACAATTACAAAGATTTTTCTTAATTCCTTCATTGACACTTACCATCTTAATCTTCGCATCATGGCAAGCTGATATTCCTCCTCGTCCATAATCTCGTCATTTTTGGGAAACGGGAAACAGTTCGTAATTTCCAAACGATTCTGCACGACTAAACCTAGAAGAGCACCCTGAGCAACTTCCATATTGCTGGCAGATTCCTCATGGCAATGTTTCACCATCTTCATTACCACTAATCCATCGCATTGCACGTAATCTATACGCGGCTCTACTTCTGGGATCCTCCTCGATGTCGCTCTCGAAACCATTTTTCACAAATTAGTCGCGATTATTAACTACTTATAGAAAATGTAGTTCTTACAAGCGAAACACACACCGTGTGTGCGTCGATGCTTAGTCAATTTTAAGAGGTTAGTTCGAAAAGATAGTCCGAGTCATGGCGTCACTGCAAGTTCCGGAAACGGAATTCTCTATTCTCTAGGAAGATTTTTTATCTGTTTTAAGCCGGAATCAGACTACGCATTGGAGATTGAGGATTGCGGATTGAAGATTCTGTTCTGTTCTGTAATGGCTCCGGAGGAAAAGGTTATCCCCATACGTTATCCTAACGGATTGAAGATTGCTATTTGAATAATTGGAGCAAAGGCTGCGTTCGCTTTATGGCTCTCGCAGATCAGTGCGATGCGCGACGCGACACACGATATGCGACGAGCGATATCCAATGAGCGTATTGGTATTCCGGAAAAGCTGTACGCTCATTGGATATCGCGCATCGTATATCGCGTGTCGCGTCGCAAATCGCGCTGATCTGCGAGAGCCATTAGACGCTTATACGCTATAAGCCCGTATCAGACTACTGACTGCACAGGCCGACCCGACTGCCGACTACGACTGCCGATTCTTAATGGACCAATCACAGTGAGGCGCCAAGTCAGTGCCTGATTATCCTAAATAAATTGACCAATCGTATTTCTCGTTAGTCAGAATTAACAGATGCGATTGGTCAATTTCATTGGAATAACCAGCCGGTTAACTAAAGTTGGTAGAAACAGACATAAAAAGAACAGACAAGTATAGATTGGACGTCGCATATTGCAATCGAGCGCAGTGTGAATCCTCCATAAACTCTTCATTTTACTATAAACACAACCATCGAGACCCGCGAAAAGTAGGCAGTGTGTTTACGTCAGTTTACTTTCATCATTTGATTGGTGTCTTTAAAGCAAGATTGATAAGATTTACTTGTGCGTTTTATTTCTGCATTGTAACAATTAATTTATCATTGTTTCCAACTGACACTCATTAAAGTAAGTAATTGAAAAATAACTAAATTATATTTCAAATTATATATAATTAGTATCTGAAGAATTAAATGAATTAGAAGTTTGAAATTACATCCGTTAAAAACGGCTCTCTTTCCACATATATGTAACGTTAAACGTACGTGTATTACAGTGCCGTATTACAATACGGGTATTACTCCTACAAAAGGTTGAAAAATTTTATTAAACGACAATTTTATACTATAAATGATGGATAACATGAAAGAGAAAATTAAAGTATGGATAGAAATGATAGAATCAGAGAAGTTGGAAAAAGTATTAGAAGATATTCAGGTATGTTTTCCACTGAATTATATTTTGTTATATGTTTTTCTTATAAGCACAATCTTATCTTTGATAAATTAAAGTATCTAAATTTATATAAATATTAATTGATACATTTATAGATGAATATTCGTGTCCAACCGGATGCCCAATTGAACAAGTACATTTTCAAGTTGCTGCTGTATTTGTCTCATACAGCAGACAAATGCAATAAACAAAACCAAATAACTGGGAAAAAAATTGCTAAATTAGCTAAACTGCTTTGCTCATTGTTGATTGAAGTACCTGATGATAAAACCTATGTCATAAGTTTGTACCATATTATCAGCTGTTTAATTTCCTTAAACTTATACGAAGATGCAGCAGATATTTGCTGTTATTTACAGCCTGGAGATTTATACAGTCCTAAAAATGATACTATGGGACTTCTAGCAAAAATAGCATCCTTATGGCGCATTCCAATAAACAATATTTATTCTCTCGCTACTGACTCATTAAGCACAGAGAGTTATAATGACTTAAAAAGTATCATAAGATATGAAATGAAGATGATACAAATTGCATATAAAAATTACACACAGCACTTAATTGTGAGGATAAGTACACATATAGATAAAATGGCAACAATTGACAAAGGAAAGGATGTGTATTTTGATGATTTTTACAAATATATGTTGAGACATCTAACAGAAGCACGGCTGTGTTTAAATAAGGATGAAAAATATATAATATACTGCTATGTACTACGTATAATATGTCACATAATATGTAAGAATATAAATATATCTCGTATAAAGTATGCTGTAAAAATATTAAATAAGTTATGTAGTTATTTTAAAAATCTCCTGATGGAAGATGAGGAATGTTATCAGTGTTTTCAACAGTTTCAAAGCTTGTGCGTGATACTTTTAATGCCAACAGAAAATTTTACAAATGACAGTGCCAAAAGTATACGAGACTTTATTATTTATGACAAGAAAATGGCACAAAAATATGGATATACAGAGAGCCTTAAGTTGAATGCACTTAGAGTTGCAGAAATGATTGAACCCATGTTTATATACTGGGAAACTTGCATAAAAATTGACAAACAAAAATTTCTTGATACTGGTATCATGTTGGAGACAATAAAATTAATTATACATATGAGTGTATTTTTTATGAAGGATGTATCAGATAAGTGTAAGGTGTGTGTGGATGAAAGATGTACAGTTAAAGGAGATTTGTATAATACAATAATATTGAAATGCAGATGTATACATTTTTTAAGTAAATTTCCTACAAAAACTTTGCCAGAAAAGCTGTGTGTTCTTGCTGGAAAAATTTTGGAACAGAATGTAGCATTGATTTCTGAAATGAAAGAATACAGATGCAAACGTTGGTCACAATTATGGACTACGTGTGGTGGTTTAATTTATAATATGGCTATAGTATCTGAACATGTTTACGAGGAAAGTGTGCATTTGTTCTCCTTATTGTGTACTTGCATTTTCCGATTTCAAGGAGTCGAATCAAAGTTAAACTATCTGAGCTTCGAAAATCCTATTTTTACCGTATTGCACAGACTATGCGCCACACATTACACTAATAAAATGTACAGAGAAGCTATGGCTGCATCTGCATTGAATGCCTTGTTAACTTATGATACACAATTTACAAAAGCTTTTGATATGTGGATAAATATAAAGAAGAAATGTGCTTCAGAAAAGATTGCAAAACTAACTATGCTGGAATGCTTGAGAGACGACAAGGACAGAATCAGTGAAATGGGATTCACAATTGACTTCTCCAAGTATGATCTCATTCAGTTGTGTATGCACGAAGCACGAAGTTTACTGGAGGCGAAAATCGCATTTGCAGATGGTGTGTCAGTGGTTTTGCAGGAATTCAAGAAATTAAAACCAACCAATAGTCAATATGTACGCATGATACTATTGTTAGGACACTACTTATTAGATTCTGAGCATAACAGTGCGGTCTTGGAATATCATGAGCAAGCTATATCGCGTTTGAAAGAAGACGAATCAATTTCCGTAGCTATCCTATGTCTGGAAGTTAATTTAGCATTTTTTACATTCATGGAGGAGTTGCATACAATGAATAAGCAAACTCTTATGGAAATGGAGAATACAAAATTTGCATTGTATGCTCCCAAGTTGCCAGAAGTTCGTGAGACTAAATCTCCAACTATAGTACCAGCTTACACTATGTTAAATATCAAAAAGGATTCCAGTCTTATGCTAAGTTTGCAAAAATGTTTGAAGAAATGGAATAAGCTGCTAAAGTGCGAGATGCTTGTAAGTTATTATATACTAGATACTACAAAATTGTTATAAACGTTACAGTTTACTAATTATACAAAAATGTCTTACTGTCAAAAGAATGAAATTATTAAAAATTGGGAACCAAATCTCATACTACGTGTGTTAGTCACATTTGGTGAATATTGCCGACTCTATCGTCATGAAAAGTGTGAAGAAGAGGCATGGGAATTAGCACATAAATTAGCATCAAAAATTGACGATTATTGTACAATTATTTATGGTATGTTAAAATGCTTATACTTTAAAGTAAAAAAATTCTCTCTTCCTCTTTCAAATTGTAATAAACTAATGTTCCGTTCTCTTGTAGTTACAGGTCGTAGTATTTCATTAAGGCAAATCAATTATGATTGGATTACCACTGCTAAGGAATATGCTATGAAGCACAAAAACTCTAAAGATGGAAATATAATTAGAGCCATTGCTATTTTTTGGATAAGCTTAGCGGATTTTTATTTTCAATGTGGCAAGGTATTGTATCTGTATGATGAAATGTACAAATTATTCTTCTACTAAACATAACATCAATTTTAATACTTTCTTTTTTCTTTTAGTGTGACGACGCTAAGAAATTGCTTAACGACGCCAGAAATCTTACAGGAATTTCATTTCTTACTAATACATCTGTATATCTGTTCAGTTTAGATACCATTATATGTAATTGCAATTTATATAGAGATAATACAAAACACGAGGATTATAGTTCATATATTGTAGAAAGTTTATACACAATGGTTAATTTGTCTCATGATTTGTCGATGAAAACATGTAAGTATAAATGGATTTTATTTTTGATAAATTCGCTTTTAGAGCTTTTATTTAAGTCAATTTTAGAGAAACTGAAAACATGAAAGTTATTCAACTATTTACACAAAGCAATCCTTTCCAGGTAGAAACCAAGTGGAAAATCTCTTCAGTTACGACGTCCTTTTCACTGCAACAGTCAATTTGTCCATGAGAGTAAACCACTTGTTATCATTCCGCGAAATTAGCGCGCATTTGGTACGACGTGTGAAGTCGGCGCAGAGCTTGGGCGCTGTGATGCGTACCGCTGAACTGCTGAAGTCGTTATGCTACATCGACTTGTCGCGCATAAAACTGGACGATTGCGAGGTGAAATTACAAGGCCTCGAGCATATGTTGGACTTCGAAACGTTTCAATTGTCAATGAAACCTCAACCAAATTTTGATGCGTCCACTCATATCACGGTGTCACCTACAAGAATGGTGGATCCCGTGAGAGATGTGCCTCAGCGCGACGCTTCGCCGGTACTTAGAAAGAAAGTTTTTGACCTGCCAAAATTCGTGTTGCATAAAAGCTGTAGTTGCTACAAGTGCGAGAATATGTCGTATCAATACTTAGTGTTCACAGTCACCTACATCAGAGCACAGTTGTACGCCTTGCAGTGTGACAACACGATGGCGCTTGATCACTTTTACGGCGCTTTCAAGATACGACAGAAACTGTTTGGAGAAGAGGAGACTGTCTTGCCAGGAAGCCGAAGTTGCGATGAAATCGGTGTGAAGCGATTTTCCTGGCAAGCACGATCATATATCACCGATTATGTACAACTGCTGATTGATTTCTCTTATTTTCTGGAAGCCAATGTAACGTCGAGGCATCAAAATGCGCCCGACATTGCTAATTTGGCGATAAATATATGTCGAAAATATAAGTTGGAGAAACACCCAGTCTACATCTTGGCTGAAGAAGTAGTACTCAATAGCGCTTTTCAAACTGTGTTGGCGGCCCCAAATTATTCGGGTATGTATCTCCAATGTCTATAATTTTTTTTGTAATATATATATTGAGAGCGTGTAACGTTTTTTTATATTTATATAATATCTGCGTTGCAGATTTTATGGTCCCTCAAGCATGTGATATCGATGTAAGCAAGTATGCGAAAGCTTTGTCGAATTCGAATGCTTGTATCACGCCGTCTATGCACAAACATTACGTCAAAAAACCAGCTTCAGTCCGACGTAAGAAGAATCGAGTGGCTTTGAACTTGGATAAGCTTATGTATTTAAGCGACGACGAAGAAGATGATGCATCATTATTAACAGTCGCACATTCAACCAAAAAACCTAAATTAGTTAAACAGAAATTAGTAAAAAGAAAAATTTTCGAAGAAGATCTATCGGATGATGCTAGTTCCATTACTTGGAGAGAATCTGTGCCGATAGATACGAAGTCAACAAAAGATAAAACTCAAAATAACAGTAACACACAGATTGACAAGAGATCGATGAAAGATAAAATGGTATTTTCAGTTCCAGACATAAAACTAAATTCGACGAATTTAATGGATAAAGAAGTACCTGCCACAATGGGACATTTAGAGAAATCAATAGAGAAAATGGAGAAGCTGAAAATTAATTCGGGTGCAACGCGAAGAACCAGAAAAGTTAAAGCAACGAATCAACTACTAACGGTTGCGGATTATAATAAAAATGTAAATCGAACTACAGCATTACTAAAGGATTTGGTAATTAGTGAAGAGACAGATGTAAATATTGATTCAAAAGTGGAAACATTGAATGGATTACCAGTACAAAATGAGAAGACTTCAGAGAAGAATGACGGAAGATCATTGACTACACTTACTGTTGAAACACTGAAACAAAGTACAGACAATGCAAGTACATTATCAGTAAGTAAAACTACACAATGTAGACCTAATAAATTACTTACAAATAACGAAGTCATTGGTGTAAGGACAAGATCCAGTCTCAGAAAAGCCAAGGAGAAGTCATCATGAAGACAATAATGTAGAATATGATGTATTCCTCAAAACGTATAATAAAAAACATTTTTGTATTTTTGAAGGATATAATAACACAACTATTTTTAATAAAAATATAAATATTATATGATCAAGAATGTGTGTGTTGTTTTAATATATTTGTAAAAGTTGTATAGAGATTTCATATATTTATAAATTATTTCTAATAGGACGAAAATTAACTTTGGGATCTCATTTTATCTCTTGCTTTATTATACTTTATAAATAGTAACTAATTTCATTCCAATTAAATACTTTACAAACTCAATTCAACATTTTCGACATTTTTTCTTCTCATAAGAATTTATTATTATTCTTAACATAAGTATCACACAAATCCCTATAATAATTCATAACAATAAACTGCAGCGTTGTAAAGAGAAAAATACATTTGTAACATGCCTTTCATTTGCATTACAAACAGAACATCTTGCTTCTGTGTTATCAGCTAAAAAACAAAACTTTATTACAATACTCTCTCAAATCGATGAACATTTGACATGTGAAAAGCGATTATTATGCAAGATAAAAGTAATAAGATTTTTCTATGAGACACATTTGTTTCGCGAAACTTTTAAACGTTGTGTGTAGGAAAAAATCAAGAATAATTATTTTTGCTAAATAATTATTTTGATCCCATAAGTATATACGATACGTAAGCGTACGAAACGAAAAATTCAGATAAAAAATATTGAAATTAAAATAAACTATTCATGCTAAGAACAATGACCGTAATTAAGAGCAACAATAATCAACAAAAGAAAACAAATGTGTTTCACAGTAAAAAAACTGCGTTTGTACGATCGTCCAGCGACAAGAGTCTACCATGTCTCTATATGGGGTGTGTGAGGGTGTGGGAACTTTTATTTATCTTCCTGCGTATAAAAATAACAAAGTTACAGTAACCGCAATTACGGTAATCACAGTTTATAAATGGCTATAAATGTCATTCAGGAGTCGTCATACTTGAGACTCCGGGGTTCGGTTGACTCCTCTTGCATCTTCGCCAATTCCATCAGTGCTAAAGCACCTAGCCATGTCTTATTGTCTTGTATCGGTAACTCAATTGTATTGTCCTCCTGTTTCACAATTTTCGTTTCCGCTCTCTGAGCGTCCATCGTAGGCAGTTTTGCAGTAGTCTCCTTGCTGTTGACGTTACTCGAACTCCCGGCTAACATCAGCACTGTGGGTCTCGTCTCGTTCTCGTTGATATGAGGCTTGACCAGATCTTTGTGGGTGTACTGCTGTATGTCCAAATAAGGTTGATCTAATTTAGATAGTGTGTCTGCAGCAACAATGTTATCTTCAAACTTCTGTAAATTTTGTAACAAACTATTCGAACCATCCAGCGAGTCCGGCCACGCTGATTGGCTTAGAGCATGCGCGACGTACGTGTTCTCTTGTTTGATCGTTTTTAGAGATTCCTTGTTCAGATTCATGTAATCGCAGTAATAGGCGTAAGGAGAGTCATAGGAAGTATCCGATGGTGTGCTTATTGGCTCCGTCAGTTTGTTGTGCGCATTTAATGTGACGTTCCATTGCAACCCGCATGGCTCTGCACACACGTTGAACGAATGCTTCTCGTCAATCTTATATATGGACATTACGTCGGACTTGACGTCCCAGTTCAAAGGCTTCGCCAGCTGTTGTTCCAGGCAAGCCTCTCGTAGCCATCGCTTCTTTGGTTGTAGTCTGTCCAAGGATATGTTCAATGGCGCGATTACCGACTTGACGGTTGGCACTTCCTCGTCCTCGGACATCTGAAGTATCGCGCACGGCTCCGTCGTGTCCTCGTCTTGGCTCTCTTCCTGACTGTCTTGACTCTCCTCACAGTACAGCCGCTGATTTGACTTGCGATCGAGGTTCTCTTGTTCGCCCGCTGTGTCCATCATCAAGCCTTTCCTGGACTTTACCCTCCTGTGGTTCTCGACGGTGCTCTTCCATGTCTTCTTCCGTTCGTTCTTCCCGGTCGGTGTTCTGTCCTCGCGTTCCCTGGACATCTTATAACGCTCTAACCATCGAGTCACATCATGTGGCAATTCTGTGTTCTCAGACACTGGCTTTAGCACGAAGTCGTCTGATCTTGTGAGCGTGGCATAGGGATGTTCAGGGCAGTGTCTATTAGCATGAGTGAATCTCATTTCACAACCTTGTTCGGTGCATAAGAATGGTTTTTCCCCTGTATGCAGTCGTTGGTGAGTCTTCAGCTGTCCTGATTGCGTGAAGGCCTTTGTACAGCCAGGATAGTCGCATGGGTATGGACGTTCTCCTAAAATCACATATATTTCACATTTATCAAACAGTTCTCTCATTATATTTTATATGTCATGATCAAAACCAATCTTATCCATCTTTATTGATTTTATTAGTGGATTCACTCGACACATATAAACATAAAAAAATCTGGTTTATATATAATTCAGATATCAATGCTCTTTAATACAAATATTAAACTTGAACTTGCTTAGTGGCAGCGATGAATTCTCACAGGTACGATCATCATTTAGTGTATTTATTTATAACCATTTAATAGTGTATTAAATAGTTGCTTTAGTCTTCTGTTCTATAATTTATTACTTTAGTTTCCTACCCTATGGTCTGATTACACTGTCATACAAAATTCTCAGAACTTGGATTAAATTGAACTTCAACAATTAAACACAACAATTAAATACAATGCGACTATTGTACCCTATATCTTATAGAACTCGAATATCAAATTTCTCCATTGATACCGTTAATTACGAGAACAACAAAAAGAAATAGAACGAAATACTAACAATACTGACATTTTCAGGGGAGACATTTTTTGACGCTAACGTAACGCGGAAACGCGCTACGCATCGTTCTTTTGTTGTCCACAGACAAAGAGCATGCAACTTCGTATTGTAACGGACCGATGAGAACGCGTACAACACCCTCGGTCTCGTTCCCTCTCTTTTTCTCTCTTGTTCTCTTTCTCTCTCGACCGATTAAACCCCTCTAACGACTCTGCGCGACCCAGTCGTTACGTACACCGCGTTGTGCTGTAATTTCGCGCGCGTAACAGGCGAGCTTTGCTCGGCCTCCAGCCGCAGCGATTTGTGCCTGCGTACATACGTAAGTAACGTAACGTGCGTGCGTAACGCAACTCGAGACTCAGGCCATTTAAGTATTTAAAGCGCGGCATGATGGCGATTGGCGGGACGCGCGCGCGCGAGAGAGAGAGAGAAAGAGAGTGGAGCGGGGCGCGCGCGCGAGACACGCGTGTAACCGTCGCGCGGGGTTTTCTCGCGTTCATTGAATAAAATCGTACGGTTCCGCGACACGCCGGCGTCGGACAGCGATGCACTGTCGCGCGCTGGGCTCCGTGAGAACGCCGACGACGCAGTTTCTCACCTGTATGAGTGCGGAGATGCGCCTGCAGGCTCTTCTCGCGCGGGAATACACGGTTGCAGAAGGTGCACTTGATGCTGCTTGGCGACGTGCTGCCCTGCATCATGAGATTCGTGAGAGCGTCAGCGCGCGGCCGACCACGCCGATGACTTTCCACAGCGGTGGTGTGCGAGTGCTTGGCGTCCGTGCCTCTGTTAGCTGCTATACCATGCTCCCTGTACTCCGGTGAGGAGCACGAGCTGCCGGGGCTCAGATTCACGTTACGCGCTTCCTCGCTCCAGGTCCACGGGTAGAGGGTCGAGTCGGCCATCGGTGGTGGGCTATGGTCTACCTCCGTCGGGGGATGTGATCCCCGTTTCGGTGTGTGTGATTCCATGCCGTCACCGTCGTCTCGCCGTTGTAGCCTCACTCACGTTCGCCGCGCGGCACGCTTTCTCACACGATCCCAGACACCTCGCAGTACGACGCGATACACAACTACAGCAACTGCCGCTGGCGGCTGACTGACGCGCGCGACCTCTTTGCCGCCGCGCGGTATGCATACGCGTGCCGCGTGCAACTAATAAAAACCGCCAAAATATACGAGGATGCATGGGAACAGAGAGAAGGATTGACGCGTGCGCATTCCATCGGCGTGGCGATGGAGGCGCCACCGCGGAAGCAGAGAGCATCTCTTTGGGTGTTGGTTTGTGGTCTTTATTCTGTAGCGAGATTCTATAACTCATTATTGGAGTTAACGACAATTTCGTTATCGTTGCGCAGCTTTTCTACGGTATAGAAAAGCTGCGTAACGATAACGAAACTGTCGTTAATTCCAATAACGAGATACAGAATCCCAGCACTGGAATCTGTTTTCTATTGCTAAACTAGTTCTCTCTTATCTTATTTCCATCAAATCTTACTTGTATATCTCTCTTTTAAAAAAATTTTTTTAAATTTATTTAAGAACTGGCAGCAAAGCAGCACATTAATTGTTCCAATCTTTTGGTAAGCTACTTGACAGTAAAATCATATGTCTGTTTTCATTTTTTCTTCAAATTGGATAGAGACAGATATATGATTTAACTGTCATGTAGTTTACCAAAAGGTTTAAACAATTGGCCCTAAGTTCTGAAAATGTATACTAGTCCAGCAATCAAATCTTTTAACTTTCTTTTGTCAATGAAAGTGTCTCTAGATGTATTTATAAGTCAATCAAAAAAGTTATAAGTCGCATTTAGACGCCATTTTATCAGTAAAAAAGAGATATTAAAACAAGTATATTTTGTTTCACTCTAATTTATTATACAAATGCACATTAGTTCAGGAAGTTCTTCAGGAAAGAACAAACCTTCATGTAGCTCTTTCTTTAATGTAAACTTGTGAAACATTTTATTGAATACGTCAATAAAATATTTCACTTGCCACGAGTTCACGCTATTCATAACGTCCAACAATTATAACCTTCAGAAATAAATTTATGAATCCTAGAGACTTTTGAACGTTGCCAACGTTATCCCCTCTTTTTTATGGATTTTGTCCGCTTACCTCATAGCGTGTTCGACTGATCCTAGGTTAATCGCTCCGAGAGCAATTAATGACGTCATAAGTCTCTACTAGCCAATTATAAAGCTTATAAGTGTTTGTTCGACCAATAAACGTAGCAATAAACTGAATAACCAAGAGTGGGTTAACTCAGAGTCAGTCGAACATGCTATAATATTAGAAGTGCTATAGTATATGTAACATATTATATTTAATTATCACTAGAAAACACTAGTTTACACAGACGATTAGTACCCTCGAGCTGAGCACGGATATGTAGTGTTGTATCGACAATTACGACAATTGGAATGCAATTTGTGTCGCCGTGTGCATGAAAGTGTCTAGGGATATTGCAACTGGAAAGCACTCTGTGTAAACACACACTGTGTTACACAAAACCAGTTTATTGGTTGCATATTATCTTACAAGATATTTTAGATAATATATGATCAATAAACTGGTTTTGTGTACGTGTGTGTCAAGTTGTGTTAAGCAATTGGAAAGCACCCATTAGGTACCCAGGGCTACGTTCTAAAATTCTACTCGGTGGGTAGAATACATTTAATTGACCAATTATGATAAAGAAATCCTAGTTATCTTTGTTTTTATTGGTGGATAAAATGTTACTCTACTTGTCTCTAATACTAACCAGTTTGGTGAAAATTACGTAAGTGAATTTATTAAAATATTTACAATTTTATTGGTCAACGTCTAATAAATTTGTTTACTTTTCCAATTTTAACCACGTTGATATTGTTTGATGTCTGATGTCGCGCAATGTGAATCCTCCATTAAGTTTGATTTACTAGATATCTCTTTCGAGGGGTACGTTCAGATTCCCTATCCGGGTGCACTCCAATACTAGAAGTGCTATAGTATATGTAACATATACTATAGTGTTTCTAGTAATAGAATGCACCCGGGTAGGGAATCTGAACGCACCCGAGACGAGTTGTGCGTACCATTGGCAGAAAGATGGCGCGTTGGTTGCAAGACCATTATGCGGTCTCCCACTCCTATATTTCCGAGCGAGGCAACCTCGTGGTGGATTAGATTTTGTCGGCCATATTACGTTGAATGTCTCTGTTACACAAGGGCTCAAGAGTAGCCGTGAAACTTTTGAAGAATCCTCTGTGCTGTGAGGATACAGAGACAGGATGGAGAACATATACACTGTCACGGTCACCAACAAGTTCGATTTGAACCTCGACGAGAGCGAGGATCCGCTGGAGATGCTGGAGGTTCGTGAGCAAGAAAAAGAAGCAAAGAAGAAAGAACGAATCTCCGAAAAAGAGAATAAAAGTAAGCAGCAGCAGCAGCAGCAGCAGCAAGACGGACAAAAAACCACCAACAACAAGACGCAGAAAAATCGCGTGATCAAGGACGCCCAGCAGCTGCCGTCCAAGGTGCAGGATGCTAAGAAGGATCAAGGTTAGTACCCGGCCATTTCGGCAGTACGCCACTCTCGGCCTCGTGCTGTGTGGTATTATGGCCGTCGTCCCGCTCCCTCGCGAACCAATGTGCTCGCCGATTGCGCACGCTAATCCTTCCCGCCGGCTGCCTCTCGTACGTGTTTCCAGCGATTTTCGTCACCGGCGAAATTCGCATGGGGCAACATGCCGCGAAAATCCCGTTTCGCAGCGACATAAAAAATCGCCGCTTTGTCGCCTCGCACATGCTCTTCAGAATTTTCTAAAAATGTTTCGCACCTTAAAAATAGGACGTGGTACGTAGATTCCGCGCTGATCTCCGAGACTCGATACGGAAACTGGAAATGGCGGTCACGTTTAAAATCACGAATTATTACCTGAATACGGAAAAATAGAGCTTTGTAGACGAGCTCGACCTGTTGTATGCTCGGTTTGATTTATTGCTTAGTGCCGCGTCCTTTATGAAATTGCTCGTAATGTTTCGTGAACATTTCAACTTGCTTCAGGTAGAAGGGCAATTTTAAACTCTAGTATTTCTTGGCAGGTATTCTCTTTAAATCTTATTTTTTATTCAGTTACAATACCCATACAGCAATAATGTTTAAAAGATATCTTAGACTTTTTGGCCTGAAGGATACCCTACTTACTTTAAATGTCTTTTCTAAAACATATTTTAGACAGTTATACTGTCTGGATAATGTTATACTGAAACTCCTTTTCCATCAATGCTAGGTTACACACACACACACACACACACACACACACACACACACACACACACACGCGCGCGCGCGTGTGTATTTATTTATTTACTTATTTATTTATTTATTTATTTACTTATTTATTTATTTATTTATTTATTTTACTTCAGCTATATTGCCAAGAAGAGGTTTACAGTCATATCTTAACCACACTCATTCATTCATTCCTCTTATTCTAAGACCTATGTGAAAAGAAGAAAGAAAACAAAACTTCTTATTCTATTAAATCATAATACATCACAATGTATCACAATATGTTCTATTATCATTATTTTGTTTTATACAATCTTTTATACAAAAGTTATACCTTATACATTTATGTTTTCTTTTAATATCTATATCTATTTCTTTTCCTTTACTTACATATTCTTATATCTCTACATCTAAACTAGCTCTATTCCAATTCACATAAGTACTCTTAAACTTAATTTTATATAAATTTAACCTATTCGACTATGCCTATTCTATTCTATTATTTATCTCCTTCTCTTTGATCTCCTTCCTTTCATAGTTTTTTTACTATATTACTTTTGAGCTAGGTTATACATTTGTTTCATCTAAGACAAAGAATACAAATTTACCCATAAATGACTGCCTTTTTAAATGTGTTGAGACTGATTAATTAGGTAATTTCAAATATTAACTTATTATATAGCTTGTTTAATTTTAACAAGATTGTCAAAGTACAAGTACACATTGTGTACTTAATTCTTAATTGAAGTTTAATTTGAAGCTTGTTTTTATGCATAGTATTGAGTACATTTTTAAAATTTGTCAGATATAAACATTTTTAGTCACACAAAAAAAAAAAATATATATATATATATATATATATATATATATATATATATATATATATATATATATACACACACACATATATTCAAAGCTTTCTTTGTCTCAATCTTAACAATATTCTTATATTAGAATATTCTATGAAATATATTGATACTGAGTGTTTTTTATTTAGTGATAGAAGTCAATATAATTGTCATCCTATCTTTGTTCACTAGATATGGGAGAAAGACAGAATGATACATGTGTTAATTTGTGTTACCAAATGGAAAGCATTTATTTGTATATTTAACAATTTAACATCTTCAACTATCAATATAATGAACATTGTAATAACATGTCAGCATATGATGCTGTATGTGACATAATGTCAGAAATTTACATATGAATTGTACTTGAAAGCAAAAACTTTATATTTACATGCTTTGTATTAATGTTTTTAGTGGACAAAAAACCATCCCAGCCAAGAGTGAGCGGTGGTGACCGGAATGTGAAGTTCTCTGGCGAATCCAGGGAGGAGCGCAACAACAGGCGTAATCGCGAGGATGGAGAAAGAACTTTACGGGGACAGGGAGAGTTTAGGCGAGGTCCTCCCGGGTTAGTTTCCGCGAAACCAACGAATGTTATACGGTACAGTCTAGACGTTTTAACTTTTGTTCTGAGATAATTCATGGTGTTTCATTAGCATAATATGTGAGAAATTAAAATATTTTTTTTTTTTTTTTTCATTTGATATGAATACTAATATAAATTAAACTTTTTTTTAGGACGATGGAATTTATTCGCGGTAAATCTGTTTCAAGTAGTAGAAACTATTTTAGATTTTGTTCTAGCGAGGGTCGTGAAACGCGCGAATTCCGGAACTCGAATAACGATGCTCAACGTGGTGAATATGGTGAGCGTCGTGGCCGTGGAGGTATGCGTGGCATAAGTCGCGGACGTGGAGGTCCTCGTGGGCGTGGTGGTTATGATAATCGTGGAAAACGAGAATTTGATCGCCAATCTGGCTCTGATAAGACGTAAGTATCCGAATGCACATATTACAATTCGATCGTAAACAAATTTTGCTCGAGTTTGCTTCAAAATCACACAAACTTTCATAGGACCAATGGTCTTTAGTAGTATCTGGTGCCACAGTAAATTCGTCATAGTATATTTCTCCGTTTTAACCTTTATTTTCGAAACCTGAGTGTGCATGTAACGATGTACTAAATGGTTTTTAAATTATATTAATAGTAACATTAAGACTGCTACTTTTACAAAAAAAAAACTACTACTTTATAAGAGGCTTTTCACTGGTCTTTACAAGAAGCTAGTAGTAGCTTTTTTCTGCATGTGCAAAAATAAACAAAAGTAGTTGCCTCAATAGGAGAACATGTAAATGTTAATGAAGTGTGTTAATGAATGTTAATTCAGTCAAATTATTACATTGCGCACTTTAATAATGGGCTTTAGCTAACATATCGTCATTCATTACGTACTTAAAACGTAGTTTATTTGTCCATTAATAGTGGCATTAAACCAGTGGATAAAAAAGACGGTGCTGGCAGCCATAATTGGGGCACCCATAATGATGAAATAGAGTAAGTCGCTCAAAGTACTTACTGCTTTCATTCTTGTCTAGCTTAAGTTTTATTCGTAGTAAAAAGCTACAAATAAAACTATTTGTAACAATAATCAGTGTTCTATTCTTGAGTCGAAAGAACATTTGACATTTAATTTGACATTAACTCTCTTCGGTTTTTTCTTATTGTAGAGAAAGCCTTAACCAAGAAAGTCAAGACTGGAGCAATGAGAAACCGGAATCCGAGGCCACTCAAGCGGCAACAGAGGTTAAGAATGGCGATACTGCTGTGGATACTGCTGTTGAAGAGAAACCGGTCGAGGAAGAATCGCGCGAACTTACTTTGGACGAATGGAAGGCCCTACGAAACAATCGAGTGAAGCCACAATACAATCTGCGAAAGGCCGGAGAAGGCGAGGATCTGTCGCGCTGGAAGAAGATGTACGCTCTCGAAAAGAAGAAGGAGGGTGCCGACGAAGAGGAGGAGGAGGAAGAGGAATACGACGCGGCTGTGGAGTATCCTCAACGTGTTGGCAGGCAAAAGCGCGTATTAGGCATCGAGATCCAGTTCAGTGATTCGCGACGTGGCTCCGGCGGTCGTGGTCGAGGTGGTCGCGGCCGCGGTGATCGTGTGAACGGTCGTGGATATGGCAATCGTGGTACTCCTAGAGACGGGGATTCACGTGGATCTGTGAGTATATGTATCACATTGATAAATTTAGAACATATATCTAATACTGAACATTTTTATCGTTTTAATCTTTAAATATGAATATTTAAACTTTCAAAACGTAAAATATACATATTGAATATATACATATATTTTGGATTAGAAGTTGAAATATTCATATTTAAATTAAAACATTAAAACAAATTTAGATTAAAACAGTATGAATATTTAGAATTATTATTTTTATTAATTAATATTTTTACCTTACAAAAATAAAGATTTGTTTCGGATTAAAGAATTCCTCCATTATAGACCGATTAACTACTTTCACGAAAAGAAGCTTATGTTGTGTGGTTTTTAGTTGCAGTCCTCACAAAACGAGCAGAGGTCACCGCGAAGCCGTCAGAATGCTCCGAAGGTAGACGATGAGCACGACTTCCCTTCTTTGGGATAGGTAGTTTCACCTATCTATTCTAACATTTTTCAACAATACCAACAAACAGCACTATAATGAAGTTACACCAATTGAAAAAAAAATCTTATTGAGAATCTTACGTTAGTGCATAACATTATTATTGCATAATACAGTATACATTTACAGAAGATGAAACGTAATATTCTTAAATAAATTGTAACGCTTGAACGCGTTGTTACACATTGCTACAGAATGATAAATACGAAAAGTTGCACGACGTATAAACAAACAAAAAAATAGAGAAAATCCTTTTTTGTACTTGTGGAGAGCGTTTGTAACTATATTTCAGAGTTGACATTCAATGGATAAACGATCTGTAAGAAACAGAAGAAACCATAGTTACAAAAGTTGTTAATAACAAAGACGTGAAGAGTTAGGAAGAAAGATATAACTGAAAAAAATAAAGCAAAAGTGCGTTGAGGAAAAGAGAGGGATTATGCGGACCAGCGAGTGCGAACTGTTGGATAGCATTAACCTCGTAATAGTTTCAATCTGCTTAAATTTAACTCGAAGCAATTCTCGAATAAAAACAATTTGCTGTACACAAAAGTAGAGAAGAAACAGGACTGCGGTATCGATTTCGATTTCGATGTCGCGTTAAGGGCCTAAAGGAGGCTGAACCGCGTGAACCTGTATAAATATCTTTTTAGGCGTAAATTTTAAACGCACTTTTCATTTTATAATTTTTATACGTACTTGGAAATAGTCCTTCCTCGTAATCGGCAAGTTATTACTTGCCATTCATAAAAAAATAAAGTTTTTAAGGAAGGCATTTCTATTTAACATCAAGACGCTAAAACGTCTTTTACTACATATAAGTCTACGTATATAGATACATAAATATAAAACTATATATATAGAAAAAAAATCGAGACAATGCGATAAATTTTCCTCTCTCAGAAATATGTCTGAAGCGGAATATCTCGCGTATATATTAAAAGCTTTAGGTATATGTACATGACAAACACATACGCATACACATACACATACATACATACATATATACACTACGCGTATATGTATCTACGGTAAATCGGAAACTATCGTACTATGGTAAAAAAATAATGAGTATACACTTATATATTATTATGTTACATTTATTGCGTTGTCAATTCTCAGAATATTAATTATAAATCCACTAATATTAGTTACTATATTTGTTACAACACAGTTGAAGGTAATCAACCAAAAGAATCGCCCCTCCATCATAGACCGAAAAGGGATAATGGAAGATCTAAAGCTGTTTGAAGCTTAGACATATGTGTAAATAACATTTACAATAATAAATTGTGACAATGATCACAAAGACACTTTGAACTCGAGTAACTTGACCAGTCAACGGTGAGATTACTGTAGGCAGACTTTGTTTCTTACTCGTGCACACCTGTACAGAAAAAACGTAAGTACAAAAGTATATCTTATAAACGCTGCGGCTAACGAAAAGAGGAGGAAAAAAAAGTAGGAATCAAGTTTGAGAAGAATTAATTCTCTTCGAGATATGTTATGCTAATAAAGTTGTAAGTGTAACATTTTATTGTAATTTCTTATGATGCAAATAACAATCGCTCCTTGCCTGGCATAATTTGTGAGACTGGTAATCGATATTTCCATATTTTTCGCATTGATCATTTTGGTGTTCCAATTTTTTTAAATTGCCGCCAGTCATCAAGCTCACGGTGGCCATTTTATCCGTACGTCCCTTGATTCATGCCACATAACGCTAAATGTGATTAATCTATCATTTTGCATAAATCTCATGTAATATTTACATTGGACGAATAAAATTAGCACAGGTCACATTTAACGCTGACGACGTTAAACATGATTCCACGTCCATAAATAGGAAACTAGCTACATATTCTGTTAAAACGTACAATACAAATGCTTCACCGCGAGAGGGCGTTTCTTTACTAGCAATTGCGCACGCAGTCATACAAGGTGTTCTTGAAATGTGCTCTTTTCTATTTTGCAAAGATCAACAAACAAGTTGAACAGAATGACATTTGATCACTAGTAAAGGATACATACACATACAAGTATAAATGTCACTAACAATACAATCTCATTTTACAAGATTTGAAATCTCAAAAGTCCAGTGTCACAGACGGAGAAATCTTTTCGAGCAGTTTTAAATAGATTATTTAAGCAAAATCCTATTTAGTAGGCACGTTCAGTAAGTTCAATCTTACGAATGAAAAACTTGATATTACTGAAGAATTTCTTTTACCGGCGGAAAAATTTCCATTCGTCACTTGTCCGACTAAGTCCATAAAGGTAAAGGCAGATTTCGGAACATCCTGTATATACATAGGAATACATACGGTGAGTATATAAGGCGCTAGAAGCGCAAGTGAGATGAATAAGCACGAGACTGGAAGGTGGAGAAAGAGAAGATAAGAGAGACGGTAAGATACGTGGTCGGGAAGAGAGCGAGTTCGGCTTGTCGCGGTGAAGGATCCGCGAGTAGAAGCGAACGAAAGACACGACCGAGAGGGAGTGAGAGAGGCAAAACGGCCGAGTAAGAGAGGGAAAAAGAGAGAGAGAAAGACAGAACAGCGGCGCATGCCGTAGCCGCGGCCCCCGACTCGCTCTAAACTTGTGCGCGGAGAGTGCCCCGTGTCGGTCGAATTTTAATGGCGGCTGATTCCGACTCCGCCGTTTGCGGTGTTGTGTTGTGAAGTGACGTACGACGGCCGGCGCTCGCACGGCGCCGACGTATGGTATCGACGCGGCAGCGGGGCGACGCGATCGCGGATCATCCGGCAGCGATTCCCGGGCGGTGCTGCTGCTGTGCTGTGCATGCGACGGTGGCCACAGCGGCGGCGGTGGTGACAGTGGCGGCGGCTGCGGCGACTACGGTGACGGCCCGTTCGTGGTGGCGACCAGTGCCTGTCTGCGTGAGCCGGGACGGACTTCCTCGATCATCCGCGCGACTATGCCGCACATTCGCGATGTGCCATAGCGACCGCGCTGTGCTACCAGCATTCTTGCAGTGTACATCCGTCGCAGCGTGCGAGTCCCGCCCGAGACTCTCTTTCGCGCGAGCAAGGTAAATTTCTCTCTCTCTCTCTCTCTCTTTGGCAGTCCGAGAAGAGCGCGCGGTGGCGGCCCTGGCGCCGCGCGTCTCCATCCGATGTGTGGCTACTCGCTCGCTCGCTCGAGGGGTATTGCGCGTCGCGTCCGCGAGTTGCTCTTTCTCTCTCTGTACGCGCCGACGAGTTGTTACTTTTTCCTTTTCTTTTTCATTCGTTCCTGCCGATTTTTCTTTGCGTTAATGCTCGGTCACGCTTGCGATTTGTTCATTCGTTTCGTAGCGGCCGTGTTTTGGTAGGCGGTGTATTGTGACGGGATATGTGAGAGGGTAAGAGAGAGAGAGAGAGAGTGAGAGGGGGAGACGGACGGTAGAAGGTATCCTTGCCTTTGTGCGAAGACAGTGGCCTTAGCTGTCAAGTGCAGCTACGCTCTGGTCACGCTAATGAAGGGCGGTGCGTGCTGTGCGATGCGTGCCGCCCGAAATGCGTGGAGCCATCTGCCATCGGCCTCTCATCGCAGCGTTGTGCTTCTTTATTGTTAGGAGGTGCTCGGTGAGCCCTTATTTACGTTCTCGATGGTCGCCAATGAGAGAGAGAGAGAGAGAAAAAAAAAGAAAGAAATTTCTCGACGGAAACGCGCGACGCCGTGTTATACTCGTGTCACACGACAGGCACATCTGACATTTTAACATACACATTTTGACATAACAAAGTACTTCATGTAACATTCTGTGCTCGCGAGTGAGACGTAGCCTTTCCTCGGTGCATCGCGTGTAAATCTCGCCAAGATCGTTCTTGTACATTTTTTTTCTAGTCCTACGTAAATGCAATTTTATTCGGTTACTTTGGTATTTGATTTAATTATTGAAGCCGCTCAAGGAAATGAAAAATAAACACAATTTCAAACAACAATGGAAATTAATGTGATAAGATTTGTGGGTGTGAAGAAACAACTGCAAAGTTAATACATGCGGTCATGCATGCTATTTATGTGTGAAGCTTTCAGCAGGTTAAAGACACCTGGTCTCACTGTTGAGGAATTGTGGATTGATCATATTGGAAGAAAACTCATGCTAAAAATCCTTGCATGCTATTTTCAAGTAAAAAAAGGATAGGAGAGGAAGAAAGGATTGTATAAAAATACATTTGAAATCACTTCAGTTGTAAAATGCTTTGTTCCTATCCTATTCCTTTCCTTTGATGGTCAACAAGTAGTCTTAAAAGTAACATCAATTTTCCTGCTTGACTTATCTTTTTTCATAATCTTTCTTTTGTTCTTCATTCATTTTATGAGTATTTATTAGGTCTGTTTGTTTTTGAAGAACTTTTAAACTAGTGCATGCTAGTGCAAGAAGTTAGAGTGAAAGAAAATATATTTGTTTCACTCTGGTTTATTGCATTAGTGCAGAAGTATGCTCAAGTGATTTGAAGTGTTCCTTCATGCAAATATCTTTTTATTTGAAAATAACACAAGAATTTTTAGCATGTATTTTTTTGCTTCAAAGTATTGATTATGAATTTCTTTACTTAATTTTACTTATCAATTATGTAACTTTTCCCCAAGTATGCAATTATGTAATTTTGCAGTATTCGGAGTTGATCATATAGAAAAAAGAGCACTCTTTTTGGAAATACTTGTATTTTTGGCATGTGAAATTTCCAAATGTGATTTCATAGCGTTAAACAAAAGTGATATATTTACAACTATATATTTTGTATGATTCAACAAAGAAAAATATATTTTTATTATTTCAAAATAATTTTCATAAATGGAAAGCACAAAATATTGGATTATGGAGAATATTATGTTCTTAAATGTCGGAAGAAAATATTATCAAATTAATCATATTTTATACTTCTTATGGAACTATTATAATATTCAAATAAAATTATATTATTATAATAATATTCAATAATAAAATTATTGAAAATCAAGATTTTGAAATTCTTCTAACAGAATTATATATCGTTGCTCATACATGGAACAATGATTCTTAATGGTTGAGTATATTGGTTTTGAGTGAACACATTTTTTCTGCATATCAATTTTTTCTTCCAATGTAAATTCATGAAAAGTGAATGTTTGTAGATTTTTCATGCTAGATTCATAATTGATGTCGATCCAATTGTAGCAATGGGGTCAGGAGCCTTGAGAAACTTTCCAAGTAATTGATTGTCACATTCGTGGTGTTTCAGGGGTACCAGACCATGATTGACATGTCGGTGCCTGGACTCAAGCATAGCTGGTAGTACTGCATTAATACTGGCTCGCTACCAGCAGGGCACACACCCTGACCGTACCTTTTGCATTTCCTACCCTCGACCTGCACACGCACTGACGCACACGCGTAGCGTGTGCGCACGTGCTTTGTCAGCTGCCGCGTACACACCATGAAATTCCTGGGACTTACGTCATCTCCCAAATCAAGCACAGTGAGATCCCCACAAGTGCTGCTGCCACTCTCTCATCGATTGTCTTTCTCATCCATGTCCATTGCCACATGGTTCCTGGTTATACTGGCAACTGCAGCAATAGACACCCCAGCCAGCACAGTCCCACCGATACAAGACAATAGATCTCCTCATATAGTAGCGCAGTTTCCTGCAGGGAATGGACAGCGATATGAGCATTTTCCCTTGGACGCCAACACTACCAGAGAAGGGGCTCTAAGATTCAATCACCTTGCCATAGATCCTTCTACTGGCAGGCTCTATGCAGGGGCGATCAACAGGCTCTTTCAGCTTGACTCGAGTCTCAAGCTGGAGGAATATGTCTCGACAGGTCAGTCCCTTTCTTTTGCTTATGGATATCGAAATTGTGACACAAGTGAAATAATAAACGATTCTTTCTTCCAGGACCAAGACTGGATAATCCTCAATGTCATGCAACAGGTTGCATGTCAAGAGACATAACAACTTCTCTGATGGATAATGTGAACAAATTGCTAATCGCCGATCTCGAGTCGCAGACAATAGTCGCCTGTGGCTCTCTTCTTCAAGGTGCTTGCGAAAAGTACAAAATGTCTAACATATCCATTAAACCGGAATTCGTCCCGCTCAGCGTGGCTGCCAACGACGAAAACTCCTCCACGTACGCCTTCATCGGGCCCGAGAAATATAATCCGTGGGGACAGACGAATATACTCTATGTGGGCACGACGTTCACTAACAAAGGAGATTACCGTCATGACGTGCCGGCAATTTCCAGCAGGAATCTTGATACTCTGGAATTCGCCGAGTATACGTTCAACAAGCAGTCGATCGTATATATCGACGTCAAATATCGGGATCACTTCTTAGTGAAGTATGTGTACGGTTTCAATGCGAGTGACTACGCGTACTTCGTCCTGGTGCAGAAGCAGTCATACCTGCCTGAGCAAGAGGAACTGGGATACATCTCCAGGTTGGCGCGCAGTTGTATCAGCGATCCGAACTACGACAGCTACACGGAAGTGACGTTGCAATGTACGGTAGATATGGGAGACGGGAAGCAACATTATTACAACTTAGTGCAAGACGCAAAGGTCGCGGCGGCTGGCAGCGACTTGGCCATGCAACTCGGCATTTCTGTTGGCGATCCTATATTTGTCTCTGTGTTCTCACCTAGTAGAGGCATCACGAACGAACCGCTATCGCGCTCCGCGGTCTGCGTCTACAGTCTGCAAGATATCGAGACCAAGTTCAACGAAAATATCCACATGTGTTTTAATGGCAGCATAAAGTATCGGAATATGGGTTACGTCAGCGGTCCTATACAAGATGGAAAGTGTCCAACTGCTGGGGTGAGTAAACGACTATTGAATTTACGTGAACGTCGATAAGGAACTTATATAGGATGGACCATATAACTTGATCACCTAATTATTTTCGTTTCTACATTGGATCACTTCAAATTATTATTATTTTTTTAATACTTTCACAGGGGCCTATGAATTGATGTTTTTTTCCGGTATGTTTTTTATGAACTTTCCGAGATCATTATAAATTTTTAAAATAGGGTCCCGATTTCTCTAACACAAATAAATTCTTCTGATCATTTTACGTATAATTTTATCCCAATTATATACAGAGAATGATTAGAGAAATTGATTATTGATGTTAGAAGACTTATATGATTTTATTAAAAAATTTAAGATGACTTTGAAAACTTTGTAAAAAAGAAAAAAGCGTCAATTCGTAGACCATTTTGAAATAAAATTAAAAAAAAATTGAATTGTGGTTCTGTAGAAACAGATATAATTAAGATAATCAGGCTTGCGTCCACTCTGTATAGATTATTTAAGATTTATTAGATTTATGCTACATACCTACATTTGTAACATTTTTTTGATACATTAGTTGTTATTTTTTACTGTGCAGACTACAGGAAATATTCTGAATTTCTGTGAGGTCGGATTGAAGATTTCGGGTGTATCGCCGATCACGGGCCAAGCTATCTTGCATTTTCCCGACACGTTTATCACTTCTGTGACCGTTGCCAATACCGAGAGTCACACTGTGGCGTTTTTCGGCACGAATGACGGCATCCTCGAAAAGGTTTTATTATCCGGAACCGAAGCGTTCGTCTATGAAAGCGTTACGATTGACAAGGGACGAAAATTGTTGCCGGATACATTGATCTCACCTGATGGCGAATATATCTACGTATTATCCGCTTCGAAAATATCGAAAGTCAAAGTGGAACATTGCAGTGGTTATACAAATTGCAGCAGTTGTCTCGACGCGAAAGATCCTTACTGCGGTTGGTGTTCTCTGGAGAAAAGGTAAACTGGATTAGTTTATATTGAATTGTATATTTTTGTACATTTATATATGGAAAATAGTTCGGCTCGTATAACTGATTTTCCGTTGTCTGGGAATCATAGACAAAAATTAAATTATAGGAACAAAAAAATTCCTGTTGGAAATTGTATTCAGTCAATTGTTCTCAATTATCTGAATTCAGTTTTAGTGTAGGCCAATGTTTTCAGTCGCGATAACAGAGATATCGTTTCTCGTTACTGAGTTTTTGTCTCACACCCATCCTGTTACATACAGATAAAAGAATTCCGTTAATGTAACAGAATTTCCCGTTGCCTGGTAAGAATAGAGATTAGATGAAAAACTAGGTTGTAGGAACAAAAAGATTTCGTCCTACGAGTTTTCCATTCAGCCAGTTGTTCTTAATTACTGCAACAAAATCTTAATACAGCTGAAGGCCCAGACAAATGTTTTCGGTTGCAGTAATAGATATATCATTTCTCATTGACGAATTTTCATCTGGTCTATTCAGTTGTACAAACTGAGATTTTCTTTCCGTGCACAAATTAAAATTTATTTTCGTATATAAACATCATTTTTCGGTAAATATCACTAACACATTAAAAAGAAAGATAATATATAATGTATATATTATATATACACACACATATATTACATTACATGTTATACTTACTACATTATACGTTACTTATCACATTATATGTTATAATTACATAATATATAATGATTTAAAATTTTATATATTATATATGTAATTATACATACATATATATATATATATATATATATATATATATATATATATATATATATATATAAAATTTTACTACAGGTGTACAGTAAGAGGAGACTGTCAGAAAGCGAGTCACAGCAGTCCGCGATGGCTGTCGTTAGGCACAGGTCAACAGTGCATCGATTTCGAACAAGTTCTACCTGATCGTATGCCCATTAATCAGATGACTACGGTACAGTTAACAATTAGAACTCTGCCCGAGTTGCCGCTGGGCGCTAATTACAAGTGCGTTTTTGGTAACGCCGAGCCGATAGACGCGTTGATGACCGGCTTCGGACTGTCCTGTCCTACACCACCTGTTATGGAAAGACCCAGCATTCCGGAAGGCGTTGATCACGCACTCGTGCCATTATCCGTGCGGTCCAGCGAGACGAACAAGGATTTTGTCTCGCGCAACTTTGCATTCTTCGATTGTTCAAGACACACCGTTTGCACTGAATGTGTCAAGTCACAGTGGGCATGTAGTTGGTGTGTCTACGACAACAAGTGCACCCACAACACCAGCTGTCAGGGTATTATATCAGGGGAAAATGTAAGTGTTCTACGCACGAATTTATTTAATTAAATATAATGTTTATATTTAATTACATACATATATAAGCGTCTTGTGCGCGAATTTAGTTTATTATTATTACTATTATGATTAAAGTGTTATTTAATCAACGCTCTAAGACATATTTCTTCAATCATAGATCGCACTAGTGCATTTATAAAAATATAATATTTTACAATTTATATTTAAGAAGTGTGAACACACGTATATGAAACGTAATTGTCTTATGAATATAAATAAAAATTAAAAAATAAATAAGTATAAATTATGACTAAAGATATGTGTGAACTATCCGAATCTGAACTATTTGAAAATTTCAAATTGCTGAAATTTAAATACAGATCTTGTAAATTAGCAATTTTTTAGAAAGTCACCTTTCTCACTAATGAGCAAGAGTGAGCAGAACATATTTGAACCTCCCTATTTGCCGCGTGTATTAAGAGAAATCAAATCATTAGAAAGAAATAGTGGAGTTATATAAATATTGGGATAATCGAAATATTGATTCACCGCATTACAAGTCCGGAAAAATATTCAACGCGTACGTTATATATTCAGACGTTTTTATTTTCCTATGGTTTGAAATTATTCATAATAATATTCAACGACTAGCTTTTATAGAGAAATTGTCATTGTCAATGTTGTTAAATAAAAATTAGATTTCAAGGGTTTGATCAAAATGGAAATTCGTCGATTCGATTTGGCGCGAGAAATTCTTGACGCATATCTCTGGTTATAAACTATAATAAAAAGTGTTTCTTCCTTCCAGCAAAATCAAGCCAATCTCGCTGCGCACGGTGCGCAGTATTGTCCACGATTCGTGGAACGTAAAGAGCCGTTGATGCTACCGAACAGCGTGCCCAAGGAGATCGTGCTGGAGGTGGAGAACTTGCCGCATCCACAGGTGGGTCACAGTGGATTCCAGTGTATCGTCAGCATTGAGGGCGCCAATCTGAAGGTGCAGGCTCGCGTGGATAGCAGCCGTTCTATAGTGTGTGACAAGACCGTCTACTCGTACGAGGCGGTTACCGGGGAGTATGAGGCCGAAGTGACAGTCGTTTGGAACACTAATCACCACGTGGACAAAACTACGATCATTCTGTATAAGTGCGAGGTGCTGGGCTCGCATCGCGAGCACGCGGACTGTTCTCTGTGCGTAACGCGGGATGCTCGTTTCGAGTGCACTTGGTGCGCGAACAGTTGTGTGTACAGGCACTCGTGTCTACAGTCGCCGTTCACCGAATGCCCAAAGCCCAGGATAGACATGATCAAACCGCTGAGTGGGCCGATTGAGGGCGGTACGCTGGTGACGATCGAGGGTAGTAATCTCGGGTTGAAAGAGAGCGACGTGGAGGGTAAGATACACATTGGCAACACACCGTGCACCTTGGTAGACTACGAAGTGTCTGTGCGTATCGTCTGCCGTACCGGTCGGCACGAGGCCACGGACGCGGCCTCTGTCGTTGTCGGGAACGACGCTGGCTACACGGAGAGCGCGGTGCTATTCAACTATAAAGACATACGTCTCTCGGGAGTGCATCCGTCGGTTGGGCCGCAAAGCGGCGGCACGCAATTAGCTATCACCGGTAAGTACTTGAACATCGGCAGCACTATATCGGCGTACCTAGACGAGTTGCCGTGCCATGTGAACGCGACTCAAGCGAGCAGCACGAGATTGACCTGCGTGACCAGCAGGTCAGGTCATGTTAGACGGATTCACAAGCTGACGTTAAGCATCGACGGCGCAAACCGCACCCTCGTGGGCAATCCGTATAATTACACTCACGATCCAACTATCATGGAGATCAAGCCGTTAAGAAGCTTCGCTTCGGGCGGTCGCATGATCACCGTGCACGGTACGTACTTGGATACCATTCAAAAGCCGGAGATGGAAGTTTATTTCGACAACGAACCGCTGCCAGTGAACAGAACCGTCTGCACCGTCTTAAATCCTACGCAAATGGAGTGTCCGAGTCCGAGCGTCGCTAAAAGATTCACCTCGATCCGACGCAGCGAACGTTCGGTGGTCAATACCCAAGCACCTCAGTCATTGAGACTGAAAGAGTCTCAGCTTTCTCTTAAGATCGCCTTTATCATGGATAACGTGGAGAGCGTAAGGGATCTGGAGAAGCACTTCCCACAGAGCCTGCGCATCCGACTGCTCTACGTCGACGACCCGAAATTCTTCCCGTTTCCGCGCAATATCAAGCTATATAAAGGTGACACTTTGGTGATCGAAGGTGAGAATCTCAACTACGCCAGCGACGAATCCGATGTGAACGTCACTGTCGGTACTATGCCCTGCAATGTTACTTCGCTTGCGTTTACACAACTTGTTTGCACGCCGCCGGATCAACAACCCGCCGACACAGACGAACTCGGGATCAAGACTGAGAGCGGACTGCCGTTGGTGGTGGTGCGAGTCGGCCGCAGTCTCCGTTTTCCTATCGGCTATCTGCGCTACGAGGTCATCAAGTCCTATCCGATTCCGCCGGAGGCAATCGCGGGCATCGCCGCCGGCACCTTCGGCCTCATATTTTTGTTCGTGCTGGTACTAGTGATCTATCGCAGGAAGAGCACGCAGGCGGAGCGGGAATACAAGCGAATACAGATACAGATGGATACACTTGAGAGTAACGTGCGCATGGAATGCAAGCAGGCGTTTGCGGAGTTGCAGACGGATATGACCGACCTGACCGCGGATCTGGAGTCGTCCGGCATACCTACCTTGGATCACAAGAGTTACATCATGAAAGTGTTCTTCCCCGGTGTGATAGATCATCCTATATTGAACGATCCGCGTTCGCGTAGCAACGTCTCGCGAACGAATTACGACGCGGCGATGATACAGTTCGAGCAGCTCGTCAACAACAAGTACTTTGTTCTGACTTTCATCGAGACCCTGGAGGCGCAGAAGGACTTTAATATTAGGGACAAGGTGAACGTTGCTTCCTTACTCATGGTCGTTTTGATGGGTAAGATGGAGTACGCCACCGACATACTCATGAATCTCTTATTGAGACTGATCGACAAAGCGGTGAACACGAAGCACCCACAGCTTATGTTAAGGAGAACGGAATCTGTGGTGGAGAAAATGCTTACGAATTGGATGGCGCTCTGCATGTACAACTACCTGAAAGATTACGCCGGCTCATCTCTATTCTTACTGTTCAAAGCGATCAAGCATCAGATAGAGAAAGGGCCAGTAGACGTGATAACACATGACGCTAGATACTCACTCTCAGAGGAGAGGCTCCTACGGGAGCAGATCGAGCACACGATCGTCACGCTGCATGTCGTGCAGGACGATCTCGATGAGAAGATACAGTGCAAGGTTCTAGATTGTGATACGATAAGTCAAGTAAAGTCGAAAATCCTCGACGCGCTGTACAAGAATACCCCGTTTTCGGTGAGGCCGTCCGTACACGACGTCGATTTGGAGTGGAGGCATGGTCGCGGCGGTCACTTGACGCTGCAGGACGAGGATCTTACGACCAAGTGTTGCGGCGAGTGGAAGAAGATTAACACGTTGGCGCACTACGGCGTCAAAGAATCCGCGGTGATGTCGTTGATTCCTCGGCAGAACGACGGTTTCTCGGTTGCTTGCAAGCCGCCCTGCCACAACTGCAAGCCCTCGCATTATCATCATCAGCAACAGCAGCAACAGCAGCAGCAGCAGCCGATTCATCATCATCATCCGCACCACCATCACTTACATCGACACTCGAATCACTGTTCGTCCACGCATCTTCCATCCACGCCCAATCACGGCTTGATCAGTCCTGTGATGTATAATCATCCCGTGAGCGGTCTGTACTACGATTCTCAGCACTCGCCGCCGATTATAACCGCGAATGGCGACGTTGAGAGCGGTCACGGCGGCAATCAACGGCTGTACCACTTGGTAAGGCCCATCGAAGAGGTGCACTATCCGCCCGGCTTAGGTTTCACCGGTAGCAGTAAGCATCACCATCCCGAGCGTACGCACAAGGCGATCCCGGAGATCTTTCTCACGCGACTGCTCTCGACGAAGGGCACTGTACAGAAGTTCGTTGACGATTTTTTAAACACCATATTGACCGCCAACGAGGCGCTACCGAGCGCGGTTAAGTGGCTGTTCGATCTCTTGGACGAAGCTGCGAAACAGCATAGCATCATCGACCCGGAGGTGCCGCATGCGTGGAAGTCTAATAGCCTGCCGCTCAGATTTTGGGTTAATTTCATTAAGAATCCAGACTTCATGTTCGACATCAACAAGTCTACAACGGTGGACTCGAGTCTGTCTGTGATCGCGCAGACGTTCATGGACTCATGTTCGATGACGGAACACAGACTGGGCAAGGACTCGCCGTCTAATAAGCTGCTCTTTGCCAAGGACATACCGCACTATCGCGAGAAAGTGGGTCGATTTTACACGGACGTGCAAAGATTGCCGCAGATCACCGACCAGGAAATGTCCAGTGCCATGCAGCAGCTGAGCGCGTCACACGCCAACGAGTTCGACGTAATCGCAGCGCTGAAGGAGCTCTACATCTATGTCAGCAAGTATTACGAACAAGTGAGTGTGATTCCCCGACCCGTCTATTTCTCTCTTCTCCTCTTGACTATTATCCGCGCGTTTTCGTACGATATCATCGTTAACTTGGGTGCGAGATAGGCGATTATTATCCTCACATAACATTCTTTTCAGATCCTAGAGGCCTTGGAGACAGATGCGGGCTGTCGCAAACTACACCTAGCTCATAGACTAGAAAATGTAGCGTGCACGCTCGAGGGAGAAGAGACCAGTGCCTGCTGACATACCCTCCTCACTTCCATCCCAGGACCCGTCAACCTCTCCAGAAACACTGACTAGTGCCTCCACTTCATGCATCAGATACACCTCGTTACATATGTACAAATATACACATACACACCATGTGAATAACAACGCCGTAAAATACACGCGATTTCGTTAGGGCTAGTCAGGCGATAGGTCACGGGATTAGACAGTCCTCGTGGTTAGTATTTACGTCTTTACGTGTTGGCCATACCGAAATACGCTTGTAAACATGTATGGATATTGGTAGGCAATGTACGCGTCTCTGATCCTTAAATTATCACGCTAGACGAACGCCTGTTGAATCTCTCTAGAAAACAAAGTATTTATATATATATCTATATCTATATATATCTCTCTATATGCGCGAATCGCATTAAAGTGGAGTAAATCTCGAGTGTAAGGTATCTCTCTCGCGAACGATTTATTGTTATCGTAGTATAAATAAGCTATTAAGTTGTCTTATAGGTATTAAATTATTTCGACTTTCTTGCTACGTTCTATTTCTTCTTATCGCGACGTTGTTGCGTGTACAACGTGGTCGTGTTTCTTTGTCGAGTCTTGTTTGAGGATCTGAGACGTGGATCGGTGCAAATACTTATTAGGGAAGAAATTTAAACTGTAAATTTATGGCCGATCTGATATCTATACGTGTATACGTAAATACGGAAAATACATAAAGTAAAGTAACATGTCTCTAATGGTAAGTGAAAGAAAAAGCCATAGTGTCCACCAGACTGTCTGTACGGACAACGTACGGCAGCGAGTAGTCTGTGATCCGAGCACGAGTGGCTATGCCTACTATCTTCATTATGATATATATATATATATATATATAAATATAATTATTAATATGTTATATATATTATATATACATGAAAAAAAGAGTAATATGCCGTTTAGGGGACCCAGCTTCTGTGACTTTGTCTCTTACATATTTTATCAAAGACGTTGTCCTAAATAATATTTAAAAAATTTTAGTCGTCGCTCATTGTTTATTAAAAAGTCATTAACAATTAAAGTTCTATGAATAGAACGTAATTCTTCGATACCGTATGCATTTAATAAGTCTAAAAAGTACATTTTTGGTAGGGAGGACTGGCTATATGACAATGACTAAAAGTAATAACATTGAGCAAAATTTACCAAATAACAATATTTTACATATTTTATTAAAAGAATCGAAACAGAGAAATAAGTTTCGAAATACTGTGAATATACTTGTATATAGCACGTGTATAGTACGTGTTGACTCCTCAAATATGTACACGGTGTCAAAAAATTACGTTCCATTTACAAAAATTCTTTTGTAAATAATTTTTTAATAAACAATGAGCAACGGTTAAAACTTCTTGAATATTATTCAGGACGATGTCCTTGATAATATATGTAAGAGGCAAAGTCATCGGGGCTGGGTCTCCCAAACAGCATAATTACCGAAAAAAGTATATATAAAGCAAAGAATCATGCAACACACCTCCACGGATTGTAGTGAGCTAGTTAGAGAGGGACTATATGTATTATAAGTTGGGTGGGGGGTTAACGTACCCTCGTCAGAGACAGAGTAAGAGATAATATTAAATTAAGGCAATTAAAAAATAACGTTAAAAGAAAATTTAAGAGTTAAAAAATTATAAGAGCAGCTCAGTCTACTCTAGGCCTACTCTACGTATGTCGTGTACGCGCGAAGAAAATTATTTCTTTTATTTTTATTTTTTACATCTTGCTTTTCTCTGAGTCTCTCTGTATGCGTTATACACATTAATATACGAAGTGCTATTGCTCTTATGTTGGAGAAGAAACTTTATACAGCATCTAATAACTTTGTCGCCTTGTACGCATTATTATTATTATTATTATATTACCGGTTATTATTATTATTATTATTATTATTATTATTATTATTATTATTATTTCTTTATTGTCTGTATACATATAATTATTAATGCTGCCTATTAATTATGTTATTATTATGTTATTAGGTATAAATGCAAAACGGAACGGATCTTTTTTTTCATATCGTCGACACGAGAATATTATAGACTGTGTGGATTATTACTGAGGAGAGGGAGCAGTGGCGAGTTTTTTATTCGCCAAAATATTCTGGCCGAAGTTCATGCGCTATTATTATTATTAATATTATTGTAATAGGTGGTATGTATCGCAGACACTCGTCGTGGCACAACGACACGCAGTATTCTTTGAAATAACTTACGTACTTTTAGTTAATATAAGACTGGCAGAATCTCTTTTTATAACTCGCATTTATCTTTTCTTTTTTTTTTTTACAAACCTTTGGCAACTTTTTTTATAAGACCGTTGACAACTTATTTACGTTGCATAAGATGAACAAATGCGTGAACGTTTATATTCGGCGCGCACTGCCAAGGTTTTTCGTGCATTTTTACAACTGTCGATCTGTTGAGCCAATAGACTTCACTCATCGTTTAACTGAGAAACGACAGTCGATGAGAACGAATGAGTTATTTGACATAGGTCCAGGGAGGCTGGAGACGTGCTCATACTCTTGTACTTAATGCTAAATGCCATCGTGTAATTTCAATTATAATTCCAGGTCTCCAGGTTCCCCAATCACGACCATCAATAACCTATGTATCTCTCTTTCTCTATTGTATGTATATCGTATTTATTTATATTATGAGGGACAAAAATTTTTTGTAATGCGAATGTACGTCAATCTGTGCTGCGCAAAAGGTTTCTACACTCTATCTATGTATGTCTTTGTATTGAACTGTATAAATATGTCTTTGTGCGTATGTTGCTTTTGTGCAAGTATGTTTCTCAGTATGTGTGCCATCTGTCTCGACGCGGTAGAAGATTTGTTCGCTTTAGTGATTTAATCCTTCAAATAAACACGCGATATTTAACGCAATTGTCAACTGCGCGAGTTATACCTCGCGTGATTTCGAGTATCGCATACTTTTCGTAAGCTACGCACGATAACGTAACTTGATTTCTTTAACTTGATTTCTTGTAATATATGTAAGAAATATATATATATATTTCACGTACATATATGTAGTATTTTTCTCTCTCTCTTATGATACTATAATTTATATATATTATTTATAATGTGTATTTATATATATTACATGTGTGTACATATACATAATATATATTCGAATAATATATATAAATTATGGTCGCGAAGAGAGAAAGAGAGAACTCTTGATTGATGACGTCAAGAATAAGAAAATACATACTAAAAATTCTTGCAAAATATCTTGCTATTCATTGACGGTTGGAGCAAAATGAAAATGTTTAGGATATTTTATAGATCTGCTCGATTGATTGCAAGTGTCATTTTATTTCAACGTATTTTGTAAGAATTTTTATATATTTTCTTGTTTCGACGTTAAATCAAGATAACTGCGGTGAAGAAAGAGAAGCCTTAAAATCATGAAATTTGGAAACGAAATGATTTATCTCTTCAAAACTATCGGGAAACTAGATTTTGTCTCGATCAAAGATTCGTTATGAAACTGAAAAATCTCCTTGAATGGTTGATAATATATATATGTAAGATATTATTAATTTTTTAAATTAAATTTACTCCTGGAAAACAACCTCGTTGTTATCTTGACTCTTATACAAAGCGAACAAACTTAACACCGCTTGATGCAGTCTTCCCTGAATGAGATTAATCGAGAATTTCATTGTACCCTCCGAGCATTTTCATATTGATTATTATTGCGACACTTTGTACGTATTTTTTACACGCATAAAATTTTTACACACGCAACTATGCTATCGTTCGCGAAGGCGCACGGCGTTCTTTCGTCCGCGAACTCGTAACGTAACAATATTTATGTATATATCTTATCCGCAAAATATACAATTATATTACCGAAATTCGGCGTGTACAAAAGGAAGAAAATTTTGAAACACTCGTAATTAAGCTCTCCACGACGAAATCCGAATGTCCGAATGCCGAAGTCGCAAAATCCGCGTACAGGATAACGAAAGTATTATCATATCCACATAAATCGCGTGGCGATGGACGAGGCAAGGCTGCGTCCTGTCTCGCTCGTCCTGTGTTGAAAGTATACACACCTTTCGGTTTTTTTTTACAACGCTCTACGATGTAAGTTATACGATACTTTCATTTAATAAAACGGAAATGTATGAGAGATAATCGTGTACAGGTGTAAGCGTGCAGCGCGTGGAAAAGAGAATGATCGCGAGTCGCAACGTTATAAACTACTCAATCGACACAAGCACTGCCGTTAATGTTGTTTCAGAACTTGTGAAGAGAATACAACGATAGAGAAATTGTCCTAGCACTGAGTCCTGCAACACTCGAGACAACAAACGTCCTTTCGTGAGTTCAAAATGGAAAAATCGAATAGAAATACCTCTCGCACACCGTATTTTTTATTTTCTCTTTTATTGTCACTGCCATGTTTCGCATTTAAAAGCAAGGGCCGTCACCGAGCCATTAAGTTGCAAATTGCAGCAGCGTTTTTAATACTAATAGATACTTTGTACGTTTTCCCCCGTGGGCTGAAGCAAAAGAGGGGAGAAAAAGAAAGAGAAACTATAGAGAACGGTCGTTATACATACGTAAAAAGCTCTATACATATATAAATATAAATATATATATATATGTATATATATATATATATATATATATATATATATATATATATATATATAACTTTTATCTCGTATTCTGATCGCACGTTTGTCGCTAAATGCGGCCGTTTGTAACATGTAAGTTTTTTGCGCATACGACACACGCTATGTATGTTGTAATTAGAGTATAACTGTAGAGAAAGAGAGAGACTCCCTCCGAGCGCGCGAGGCGCGTTTTTAGCGTGAAATGTGCGGCAAGAATACGGCCGAGCGTTTCTTGCGTCTGAACAATTGTATCGTACACACAGATTGACGTACGTGAAAAATCACGCATGTGCACACATTCGCAATATATACATACACACATACACATCTTGTCGCTATTATATCGGGTGCCAATTGGCCTCCTGACGTTCTTTGTGAAATTCGGCCGGAAGTTATTCGCGCGCGAGCGAGATCTTTCTCTCTCTCTCTCTCTCTTCTCTCTCGCACGCGCGCGCGCGCGCGGCATGTAAAATATCAGATATATTTCGGGCAACGTGTTCGAGCGCAATCCGATAGAACCCAATATAGCGTCACACACTATACTTTATGAACGTATAAGTGCTCGTGACTCTGCCGCGTTATGTAAAGAGCGAGCGCGAGACCCCGAAAAGAACAAAAACAAAACGTCCCAGAGATTCTTCGTATTTGTGCACATTTATTTCTTCGTTTCTGCGCGCTCATGGGAAAACGACTTTTCCTTCCGTGTCGGCTCTTTCGCATATCGGGGACATGAAATAAAAATAAAAATCGCGGAAGAGGAAGCACGTCGAGTAAATGTTAGTGTAAAGAAGGGTATAGCGACGATTGAATATTAAATTGATTTGAAAGTCTTTCGCTCATAAATATTGAACGCGTGTTTCACATGTGAACAGAGTGTTGTTCAAGCGAGATTATGTCGGCGAGTAGGCGTGTACTCTTAAGCGGGGCGGGAGGGGAGGGGCAAAGAATTTGGAATCAATTTAATATCAACTTTTAATATTCACTTCTCTGTCATACATGTTCTGCGAGGTATTCGCAAAATCACAATTGGATGAAAATTGGACGCGGCAGAGTTCTCAGTGCAATTTGTACAGTCGAAAGTCGACTCCATCCATCTGAAAAGCTTGTCAATTCCGCATTCAACGTATGTAATTATAACGTAATGGACTGAGAGGTGATTTTCCGCGGCGGCCGTGGGGCGATTAATGTGTCATGCTTCGTAGTATAGATATAAATCTGAACATCGTGTCGAGTTAAGATTAAACTCTTTGTTAAGCTTCGAGAAAAGAAAAAAAAAGAAACACATGGATGGGGGGAACGATCCGAATTTTCCCCGTAAGAGGACATTTTTCTCTTGTATATTTTTGGTCGGGAAGCATCGTGGAGATGGTATCATTTATATCGTTGTTTCCACGAAGGTACAATTGGGCGGATGAATTAATTATAGAAAATTGTCGCCAGCAATAATCGACTAACATTGAGCAACAACGACGCGTCCCTGTTTCTGTTTGATTAGTCGAATTTGCAAACAGAATTTTGGAAATTAAGGGGAAAGAGGAAAACATTACGTTGCGTTGTTCCATTTCGACTGCCTCTAACATATGTTAAAACCCTTAAGTGTTCCTGATTTTTCGCCGCGGTCATCTTGATTCATGACGCGAGGAACAAGGAAATTCATGCCTAAAATTCCTGCAAGGTACCCTAGATAAAAACGCTGAACATAGCATGCAAACATTTAATATATATTTTTTGATGTTATTGAAACAGCACAACGTACTTAAAATGTGCTTGTCTTAGAACCCCTTTATTACGCTATAATTTTAATCCAAATATTTACTTACTATTACAATAATTCCGGATTAATTATGTTCTCTTTCCAAAATAAGTAGCAATTTTCATGGTATCAGATCATTTTTTATATAAATAATAAAATTCTTGCTCATTATAAGGACGCATCTTTACGTATTTATGATAGTCCTTAAGCAAATAATATATAAAAATGTGTTTATTTAGGACATCGAAATGAAAAGATACATAAAAAAATGACACAATCATAAAATTAACGTGATATGCAACCTTTCTTTTTAACGTACATTTCCTCATTATCTTGTCACGTTAATTTACGATTACTTATTGATTCTTAGAACAAAAGAAACGTTCGGGATATTTTAGGAGTATGCTTAATCAATTGCTAGTGCCAATTTTTTTTATATATCTTATTATTTCGACGTACCTTACAAGAACTTTGAGCATGCATTTTCTCACTTCTGACTTCATCGATCAAAAGTTTCGCGGCGAGGCATCTTAAACGTACCTCGTGAGAAAACGTTTATGCTCCTTTATATTCATTAAATAAGAAAGGAAGAAAAAAAATGCACGTGCACAATGGCAAATTCGTCACGCTCGCTGCGCGCATGTGAGTGTGTGTGTATGTATGCGTGTGTTATGTATGTATTGAGATATGTGTGCGCGTGCAATTGCAAGCTCTCCCCGCCCTCCCCATCTTCCCTCCTACATCCTCATTGTACATAGTATCTCAGTCCTCCCCCCATCCCGCGCATGAGTAGACATTAAGCGAACACTTGAGGAAACGAAATGACTCTTGCCAAATTTTCAATGGGACGTAGGGACAAACGACTAATAGCATTTGAAAAGATCGCAGAAAATATATTGGTATTATAAATGACTTATATGTTATCTCTTCGTTATTTCGCCCACCCGCAATTATCGAAGCTATACAGGCTTTGATCGTAGCAATGCTAACTCTTACAATTAAGGTATGATGGATTGTGTCCGTGCATCGTCTCGACGATCGTTTTACTGTAAGCGTGGAAAGAGGAGAAGAAACAAAAAGAGAAGGGCCACGAGCCAACTGAGGTTTCCCCCATTTGAGTCACTATCATTTGTCGTGATCCATCCGAGTGTCTGTTCAAGATGGAGAGAGAGAGCGCGCGCGATCAGCTTCTCGGCCCTTCGGACGAATTCCAAAGTTTCTAACACAGTTGCGTCACAGTAAAAGATTTCACGCGATTGGAGACGGACACGGTGAATGATAATCGCCCGTATGTAAAATTATCACAGCTCGTTGGGCGCTAAGGTCTAAGTACCGTTACTCTAAATATGGACACGTGGACTCTTCGGAAAAAGAAAACATATTACACGACGAATCTTTGAATACTAAGCGTTACGTATTGTCACGTTAATTTGGAGTTTCTCACAACTCTGCCACACACTCCCATCGCACTCGCGAAGGAACGAGTGTTTACATGTATATCTTGTATACAGTAGTACGTATTCGACGCGCGTTATAGTTTTCCACTGAGCATCTCGACTACGTGAAAGACCCGACGTCGATGTTGTATCGTTACGCGACAGTAAAAAGAGAAAAAGAAAAAAGAATCAGCGTACTCGATACGAGTTGATTTCGGTAACGAAATTGTGTATATGCGATATACAGTACAATTAACACGCAATCTCTCTCGAGAGATATGTGAAGTTTGTATAATTTTATCGCTTTCCTTTTATAAATATATCTCAATAAAAAGGTATTAAAAAATGATCTATTGTATATTTACATTAATAACTATATGTCAACGCAGACTTGTATTACGAACGATATTACGTGTGTAATAATTATTAGCGATAGTAATATTATGTCATTATTTTCTACATACTTAATATTTTTGTAATAATAATGCGAAAGCTTAAAGATAACAAATTTACATGGCACGTTTGTACAATTATTAATAAATTGTATAATATGGAATTGTATTTATAGGCAGTAAGAAATTCAGACTACACAAAGGCCCAATTGTACTAATGTCGATTGAATGTAATTCGAGATTAAACTTCAATATAAATACATACTCCATATAGTAGTATCGTCTATTTAGGACTTTTGTCTTTGTCATAAAGGGACGCGATTCTTACTTCGTCATAAGTAAATATATTCATAAAAAGTAACAACAAAAATTGTCGCCTTTTCTCCCATATTAATAAAACCGACTATAAAATATCCGTTATCAATAAAAAGAATCGATCCAAATTATTAAAAAAAAAAAAATTAATAATTACACATTCAATCAATATCGTTTGGTGTTGGCTTTTCTAACTCGACTAATTTATTCTAATACTGCCTTTACTTGTATAACGATTTGTCCTGAGAAGACTTGACTGAAGATAATGCAGGCGTATTGGATGAAGAGCCTTTCGAACTTGCGGCAGTACTTGTGTTTCGTTTGTCTTGTTTAGCCTTTTTCATCATGTCTTTCAGTCTTTTGTCCGCACTTATAATATGAATAGTTGGTGTCACCTTAGATGCACTACCTGTATAAATCGTTTAATTTAGAGATAGAATTTAATGCCGGTAACGATAAAAATGTCAAGTGCATGCTCAAATTTGAATCTGAGTACTCGTATGGCCATGTTGAATCGTGACGTCAGAGACGAAAAATGGCATGCTGAAAAATTCTTACATATCATTTTCAAATAAAAGCTATTTGAACGAAGGAACACTGCAGATCGCTTAAGCATATTTGTAAAATGTTCCGGAAACCAACCTTCTCCCTTGACAGTCAATAAATAACCATAAAAATAACGTGACAAGTTTACGAATAAAGGTAGGTTAAAGAAGAAGGTTGTAAATGTTATGTTAATTTATTGACTATTTATTCACTGTCGGTTGTTTATTGATTGTCAAGGAAAAAGGATAATTTCCGGAGAATTTGATGAATGTGCTCAAGTGATTTCAAGTGTTTTTTCATACAAATATTTTTTTATTTGAAAATGGTATGCAAGAATTTTGGATATGCATTTTCTCGCATCTGACGTCATCAATCAAAAGTTCCGTTGCAAGGGACCAGGAGCCTTATGATACTTACTTGAGCTGGCTTTCTTCTGCTCCTTTGATTTGGTCTCGATCACAGTTTTTGGTGAACTTCTCTCTTTAGAGACCTATGGTACAAGGAACAACAAAATATTTTAATTGCATCAATGGTTGCATAAATAGTTAATGGTTAATAGCAAAATAATCAAAAGCAAATAATTTTTTCCTTACAATTAGATATAAAATAATGGAGAATATGTATTCATAAATATATGTAAATATTATACAAATTATAAATGTGGGTGAATACACACACCTGAGACTTTGAACAGTTGGAGCAGCACCACGTTTGTCTCGGCACATCTATCTGTGAATCTAAAATATGTGGGACATGACATTCCTGATGATACAATGAATGACATTCTAAACATTCCACAAGTCTATTTCTTGCTCCGACATCCATTCCCTTGCAAATGACGCACGTCAGGTCATCCTCTAGAATTTCCAATGCTAGTGTGTCGTCTGTTTGTAGTATATCTGGTGGTGTATCGCGTGCTGGTAAATTAACAGGTGAACTATTTTTGCTCGATTTACTCGAGTGTTTAGATGAGCTTGAGCTCTTACTCTTCTTGCTGCTGCTACTACTACTGTGATCACTCAATACTGGCTCTTCCATCATATACTAAGGAACAAACAGACAACATTTAGAAACTAACTCAATATATTTTATCAATTATAAATGTAAATAATTATAGGATTACTTTTTTATGCAGTACGTTAAGGAGCATCTTGGATGGTCCATATTTTTGTTTAATAGTCTCATCTAACAAAGCTCGCAACTGTTCCGCTGAGTCTTTGTTGGTAGAATGTAATAGGCGCAATCCTTGCGTAAATTGAGGATCCAATTCCAACTGAGTCATCCTATACAACTTTACTTTTCTCTTTAGTAATATGTATGTCAATTTATACCTGCTACACAACATAAAAATTTCGATTGACTATGTAAGAGTACAGCTTTGCTGTAGTTAGGTTATGTTTCGCGCGCGACAGCAAACTGCGCATAGAATTCATATACTCTATTAAATATGAATTTTACGCGTACATACCAGTTTAAACTATGAAGATGTCTTTTTTCATGGGAAACCAGTGCCGGCGAGAGATAAGATCTACTCTTGTATGTTTCTTAAATACTCCTCGATATTCAACGATACTAATTTTGGCATCGGACAGACTATTGGATGAAACTATGCGAAACGTTGCAATTTAACTTGTGAACACGTAATATCCAGGCTAATACGAAGCATCTATAATTATGCCAGATACAGCATCGACATCTCATCGTCATCCATAGCAATCGCCAACGTGCGCTAGTGTTTCGTTGTGGAATGTTCAAAAACGTTATGTCGAGCTATTCTAATTTATCTCATGTATTTTTTCGAACTCGACGATTCCGAGCTCACGTCGTCCATTGATTTCAGCCTGCTAATCGGTATAGACCAACTAAACTTTAAAATATTTACGGTAGCACTCATGACTCATGACTGCTTAATAAATAATTTCATTTACAAAAAGGAGAAATGTTCCCATTCATCAATTTTAAATTGAATTCCGTGTCACTTATGTATATGTTTTATTTTCATGGAAAAAGTTACAACTTGTATAAAAACAAAATTAGTAAAAATTGGAAGTAAAAATTGATCAGCAATTTAGCGACTAGTAATTTAGCAATAAGCAATTTAGTACGATTAAAAACGTTTCAGATCATACAGATCATACAGAGAAGAAAAGCGAAAATCGCGCGCAACGTTCACGTTCCAGATCGATCATCAAATTTCCGCGTTTTTTTCGCGTATTGTTTGAATTTCAAAAATACCGCCGAATACTCGATTATGCGTTTAGAGAGAGAGAGAGAGAGAGAGAGAGAGAGAGAAAGAAAGAGAAGGAGAGGGACAGAGACTCGTCGCGCTCCTCGGATACTTGGAGAATGTAGGCAGATCGCCGGCCGTCCGCGATCCATTCGCTCCAGTCGCCCCATGCAACATACGCACGCGTTCCAAATTTAATTTCGTGATCGGCTCCGACTCGTGGAGTTGGTCGCGTGCGCATGAAAAAAGCAGGGCATCTCGGCGCGTCGCACGCGTTTTTGAAATCCCACGGCATCTATGCGGCGCGTCGATGGCACACCGCGGAGACGAGAGCAAGAGCGTCGTGTCGCGACCACCACGACAGCCGTCGCCTGTCGGTCGCGACGAGAGGTGAAAATATAACCAAAGAAAGACGAAAATAGTAACCCCGCGGGGCGAGCTATACAGCGCGCTAGCGGGAGCGTGGATTTCTCGCGCGGCCGATCGCGCGGACGGAGCGCCCCCCTTTCGTGACCACATACGTGGCGGTGTCCCACTTCCACCGCGGCGCGGCGCATCGTCGCGTCCTTGTTCGGCTTCTCACCGCTCTGGCGTTTGCACGCGCGCTTCGAACTCGATGTCGAACTTTTCGGCGGCTGCAGTTGGCAGCCGTGCGTAAAAGAAATAAATAATCAAAGCGACCATGAAGTGACAAATAAAGTCGGGGTAGAGAGAACAATGCTTGCGCGTACGACGACGGCCAGGAGGCTACTCGGGTTGTGCTGCCGCAGTGTGCGTTCGCACCGCCGTTGATATTGTATCCGTGTTCTTCTCATTCTCTCTTTCTCTCTCTGTGGTGTGTGTCTCTTTCTCGCTCTATATACCTCTCTCTCTCTCTCTCGCGCAGTGTGAACAGCTACGTCGCTACGTGAACGCGCACCGCGTATATCGTACCGCCGCCGCCGCTGCTGCTGCTCTGCCACCGCCGCAACCGTAGCCGCAGCCGCAGCAGCCGCGCGCGCGAGACACACGGAGCAGCCGGAGAGGCGCGCTATATGCTCGCTCGCTCTATCTCTTTCTCTCTCTTTCTCGTTTGTGTGTGCGAGGTGCGAGGGTGACATTTGGGATATTTTTCCACGGTACGGCCGTGAGAGCGACATCGTGCTACTGTGTTGTGACCGCCGGCTTGTTCGCGTTAATCATATCGGATCGCCCATCATCGTCGGTCAACAGCAGCAGCAGCAACACACAACCGAAGCACGACCCAGGTGGAGCCTCGGCATCCTCAGCCACGGTGAGGGTAAACCAGCGCGAGACGAACTGCTGGTACTCGTGCGTTTGTACCGACCTAACGTGTTATCCAGGAAGTGGGCGCACCGCCATACCCTCCGCGAGAATGCTCGCGGCAGCCACTTGGTGAACTCGCGCGTGGTGACTCTCAGACGACCGGTCGACGTGCAACCTGGTCGTTAACCTCTTTCTATCTCTCTCTCTCTCTCTCTCTGTCTTGTTTTCACCATCGTTCTATCTGGTCATCGCACGCAGCCGACGCATCGTGGAGACGGTGCGCTAGTGGCCATGTCTCTGGTTTCCTCATCGTCCGGTACCAGTAAGGTCTGATATTCAGTCTGTTTATCCGTCTACGCCAGCTAGCCATGAAGACTGAGAAGAAGCCCAACGAGCCCAGCTGTGTACCCACTACCGTCGTCAAGGATGAGCCTGATGCCGACCCGGTTAAGATCAAGGAGGAAGGCCCAGGTGGTAACAACGACGACCCGACTGGGGAGGACACCGCTGAGTGTCCCAGGGACTCTTGCTTGGATCTGCCCAATGGCGAAGGTACGATGCCTGGGGAGAATCAAAATACCAATGGGAATCAGCCGATCTTGAATTCCGTCAAGCAAGAGGGAGATCCTAATAATCCTACCGACGATCTACCTGGTAAGATCGATTTGTTTCCATGATCCTGCATCCACCGAATCTTTATTTACATTAGATCTGTTTCTTTTTTAAAGAACTTCTTGAAAACTGGTGTACACTGGTGCAATGAGTTAGAGTAAAACAAGCATTTTAGAGGTTTGTTTTTTGTTGCTGAGCTGGCTGCTGCATTAACTCGCGCTAATTCTCTTTTCCTCTTTCTTCCACCAAATCTCAACTATATACCTGTTTCTTTTTAGTCCGTTCTTTATAGCTGAACTAGTGCACACTTTTGGAACTTAAAAAGAAAGAGATATATAGTTGTGACTTTGTGTAAAAAAAGAGAGAAAGTAAAGTAGTGCAAGCTAGTGCAGTCAGTTCAGCTACTGAGAATAGACTACTTAAGTTCCATAAGTGTACACTAGCTCAATGATAAAAACAGATCTAAGTATACTTTAGATTTGTTTTTTTTTCTTCAAGAAAATTCCTGAACCAGGGTATACTGGTACAATAAGTTGAAGTGAAACAAAATACATTTGTCTCACTCTAACTTATTGCTTACTAGTTTACATCAGCTGAGAAAGTTCTTCAAAGAAGGACAGGCCTATTCTGACTTGTGCATTGGTATATGCTTGAATTCTCGTAATCGTATCTATTGTATTAGAGTAATCAGGTTCTCCTTTTTGCTGTAGATTGTAGTGGAAATGTTATTACAGCGGACGGCATTCAACCACTTGTTAGTAATGTTCTGGGAAAGCAGATGGGAACTAACGCTGGCAGTGGGGAGGCTCAATATATGCAGCAGCAGAGCCAAATTTATGTGTTTTCTACAATACTAGCGAATAAAGGCGCGGATGCTGTGATGAGAGGCGATTATCCGTCGATCATCGATTTTCATCGTGCTCAACCAAACACTAAAAAATATTTGGAGGTATTACTCACAATATTGACTCATCCGGATAGTACTGTAAGCTTGCGGTTATATGAATAGTCTATTGTGAAACTTGCACTTCTAGTTGTATATGTGATTATATATATATACATTGGATTTCAAAATAATTTGAGTATTTTTTTTTTCTATGCAGTTGAACACAGTCAATGGCCCAATGAGATAATTTCTGAAAATTAATCAAACAAGTTCTTTCATTGGACCATTGACTGTGCTTCAAACTGTATTGAAAAAAAAAATATTTAAATCAAAATAAAAGATGTTTTTTTTTTAAACTAAGTATACATGTAAAAGAAAATTCTGTTGCAATAATATGTATATATGTATATAAAATATCAATTTGTATCCTTTTAATTTTCATGCTTTTAATTTGTTTTTGTTTGACTTACACCACTTTCAATGTAAATCACTTGAAACATTATTTTGAGTAAACTTACGATTTCGTGCGACACATTATTTGTCATTCATTCATTTAATTATTATTAATATTCATCATTTTATTCTTTTAGAAACATCCAAATAAAGTAAATCAATTTCGCCAAAATCCTGCTCAATGGTTAAATAATCTTGCTATGATGAAACAGAAAGGCCATCAGGGAAATACGAATAATACTTTCCCGACTGAACAACCCCCGGATTTATCAGCACTAGATCCAAATCCTACACAATACTGGAACGAGCAACCTAACTTGCGAAATATAAACGGTGGAAACTCTCTTGGTAATTCTGAACCATCCTTGGATGATGGTAACATAGACGTGCCTTGCCTTGTGCCGAATTCACCTGGTAATCCGGGTAAGTATTGTTAAATTCTATTGACCGGATTTTTAACAGCAATTCACACTACAGAGACAATTAATTGGGAAAATGTATTTTCTAATGCAGCCAATCCTCAACCTGCTAATAATGCTATCATGGGCCACAGTCCTAACATAACGAGCCCAGGTCCAGGAGGTCTGCAGCCATCGCTTCAAGGTGTTAAAGTGCCGGACGAAAATCTGACACCGAAACAAAGACAACACAGAGAAGTTCAGCTGGCGACCCTGCGGAAAATGCAGATGATGCTGTTTCCTGGGCACAAAGAGGAGCCTGGCAATACTCTGGATGCAACGCAAGGAACTAATGTGTCATGTCCTTCCTCGAATGTTCCTCCCGTCAGCGTACCAAATCAATGTCCTCCATCTATGGATTGGCACAAGTTGCAGCATCAATTTCTTGATGCCAAAAATAAAGTATATACTCTTTATTTTGTGCGAAATTTAATTCGACAACTCCGGAGAAAATTTCTAGCAATTATATATATTTTCCTGACTATATCTTTTTAATTAATGTCTTTAAATATTTGCAGCCAAACGTGGGTAATCCTGGTGCGGTACCGTTGCGTGGCGCCAACATGGTCGGAGTGCCGCGAAGTCAAGGCCCACCGCCACCGTATCATCAAACGACTCGATCCGCGAGCGTACCGATTGCGATCCAAAGTCCAAATCCATCCTCGCCCAACAATCCAACGAGCAATCTGTCGTTACCGTCACCACGCGCGAGTTCGGCCCTGAATTCACCGGCGGACTGTAACAGACAGTTTCAGCTTGGTAATCAGAGAACTAGCCACTTGCCGGGACAGAGTCCAACAGGTCAGGATTCGCCGAATCCGACGGTTGCCACAGCCGCCACCGCGGTTTCGACGGCTCGACTGAATCATAGCAATCCGGGAACGCCAGTTTCTCATTCCCATATTGCAGCTCTTAGTCCTAGTGGTACTTCTGCTCAAAAGGATGCTTCTCTTGATTTTCCCAACAGTCAGCCGCCAAACGGTAATTGAACATTTGTTTTTGTTCTTTTCTTTAATTCCTATTAATTTATGCAACACACAACTTTGTTGCGTATCTTCCGACTTTGTTAAATTAGATTTGTTTTTTCTGCTTAGTGGATGGTATGTTTTGCCGAACACTACAGTCCTTAGCTCAACAAAAGCAGCAACATACCGGAGCCGTGAATGCATCGGCCGTGAAAGAAGCGAACCTTATGCCAGTACCGAGCCCTCATCAGCTTCAGTATCTCAGCACATTTGAAGGACAAGAACTGACGATTCAAAAACAGCCTAATACGAGTCTGAAGGATGGCAATTCAACTACGTAAATATTTTCTCACTTAATTTTTGACGAATATAAAGCTTCAGTAATCACATTTTACGATTAGTAATCATCTGATTTTCATTATACGTACGGTTTATTTCACATTTTTTTTGCAACAGGAATACGGGTAGTTCTTCGGAGATGTCCAACAGAATTTTGTCGGGAAGTCTGGACAGTAACAATCAATTCCCCACTAGATCGGAAGGTGCGAGTCCCGTACAGATGGACAGCATGAATCGTGGCTTCACCGGCTCTCTGCACAGTCCTCATACACCGCATACGCCACACACGCCGGGTAGCGCCGCACCTCACACTCCGGCAGATCCTGCGAAACCTGGCAATAAGTCTAGCGCTAGTGCACAAAGTAGTCCAGCGCCGCACAATACCAGCATACCAGATATGGGTCCTCCACGAACAGTGCCGGCGTCGCCTACCACGAAACCTGATACATCATCACCATCCGCGAAGGACGTCCAACAGCAACAGCAACAGCAGCAGCAACAACAACAGCAGCAGCAGCAAACACAGTCGCAGCAGCAGCAACAACAACAGCAGCAGCAGCAACAACAACAGCAGCAGCAGCAACAGCAGCAACCGACAGTGGTAAACCCGAACAATTCCGGCAGCACGACAGTAGTGCCATCGCTGAGTGGTCCTGGCGCTTCGTTTCCATGCGGCAGGCCATCCATAAACGTGAGTCAACCTTCCGACAACGTGCCTCTCAATCCCAACAACATCGGCGGCCGACTCGGTAGCTTGACCGCCATGAGTACAAATCATTTCGACCCCATAACGTCCTTGGCGCAGATGAGTCAGCAGCTGACGAACACCGCGGCGAGCAACTCTCTGGGCAACGAGCCTATGCACTCCGGCAACGCCGGTATAATGCCGTTTGGCAACCCACACGGCATGCATATGATGCAAATGGGCGGAGAGATGAACGGGAGTTGCCACATGGGTCCTACCAACGAGCCCGGTGAAGTTGGCGGTATGTGCATGGGTCTAGCGGGCGCGCCGACGAGCTACAGCCCGACCACTTCACACACGGGCAGTCCCGGCGTGCCCAGCAAGATGGGACATCCTATGATGAGCCACGGAATGATGAGTGGTCACTCAGCGGGTGCGGCCGGCGCGTATCCTGGCGGTGAAACCCACGCGCCACCACCGAGACTGATGACCAGCCATGTCACTGGACCCAGTCCCTACAATGGTGCGAATGTTCAGGTGAAGCCCAGTGCGCCGAATACTATACAGTACTTGCCGGCAAGGCCGAACGTCGGGCATGCGCCACGAGGTCCTCCTAGTTTGGACTTCCTTCAGCGATTCACCAATCCGTTATCCAATCTGGAATCGAAGATGGGCACACCGTCAGTGAACCTCCAATACTTCCCTAACGGCTGCGTGCCGAACAGCATGGGCCCGCACAGCGGTATGCCGTCCACCATGAATGCTGGAATCCCTTTAGGAGGATCGCCCAGAATGGACGGGCAGTCTATGAACACTAGTGGCGTGCACCCGTCTATGAGACCAGTCGGTAATATGCGACCGCAGCCTAATCTCATGCGTATGCAGCATATGGTGGGCGGTGGTGTCTTTCCAGGCAGTTCCATGGATCCCGATAAAGTCTTCCCGCCTGAAATGGTGTCGCAGGTACCGAACCAACCGAATCCAGGCATGTACGTTTCCGGCAGCAAAGGCAGTCCGATGGGACTGGGACCACCGCCCGACGCCACTCAACCCTTACCACCGAGCATGGGCGGTGCCACCAGCAATTTCAAGAACAGCCCGTTTGTCGGCAGCGGACCTAGTATGTCCGATCCAAATTACGCTCAACAGTTTCACAACTTCCAGCAGCAACTTTACGCCACCGGTACCAGAGGCAGTGGGCCGCCGCACCCTAATCTGCACCCACCGCCGAACTCGCACTCGCATCAACAGTTCTTCATGCCGAAGTAAATGCTGCCCGGCTAATCCATATCACGACGACAACACGACGACGATTACTACGGTGGCCTTTCAGCGTCCCTCTTTCTCTCTTTCTTCTTTGTCTCTCTATCTCTTCTGCTTTTTTCTTTTTCCATCTCATTCTTCTTCTTCCACTCTATTTTCTATCTTTTTCTGTCTCTTATTCCTCTTGCTCTCTCCCTTTCATCTATCAGGGATTTTTCTATCGTCTAATCATGTGACATAATTCTGGAAATGTAAGCTAAGCTAGATAAGGCGATCCTGCATGGGTAGCAGAGATCGACAATGTGGAGGTTCTAACGTCGAGCCTGCAAAACTGTCTGTTATCAGTTTCGCGAACAATATTCGCAACTCACGGGTGACGCGAGTTTCTAGTTTCACTCTCGAATTATGAAATATATTTGCGTTTTGACGAGCGAGGAATTCTCTTTTTTTTTCTTTCTTATTTTATTATCTCTGGTTTACGATATCAGAGTCTCGTGTTTCCAGAAGTTATCACGATATTATGGAAATATCGTTTTATACACGAGATCTCCTCGGGACTATCTGTAAATTCCAAATGTTGACAGAAGTGTGCAAGTACTGGTTTACGCGTTCATGTAAATACCGATGTATAATCTGGTTTCTTTTCTGTTCTCTCGTATCTTCCCTTTTTTTTTTTGTAGAGATCGTTACTTCATTTGATTGAGGTGCACAGCGTTAGATTTAAAAGTACGTTACTATAGCTCGAGTATAAAAGAAATAAAAAAGAAAAAGAAAAAAAGAAAAATAACAAGAGGAAGAGAATACGAGAACGAGATCGGCCATCTCTTCTCCTCCTCTTGCACTTTTGTTCACAGAGTTGCTCGGGATAAAGTAATTGTGCGCAGAATTACCGCAGTAATGACGAGCAACGAGAGGATTTGGTACGCCGGTGCCGTAATTCATCCTTCCTTTATCACTAAACTTACTTAAACGCAGTCAAACAAGCTCAAATTTATTATTGTACATATATACCATATACATATTATACATATTATATATATATATATATATATTATATATACTGTTGCAACATAATCCTTAAATATCGCCCGTCCCTTCGCTCCCCTCATCGATTCCCCTATGACCAATTCTGTGCATAATCATGATCCCCCTCTATGTAGTTTACGTAAATAAGAAAAGAAATAATTGACTAAGAACAATTATGTTGTTGATGAATGATTTTTATTATAAATGAAAAATAAAGATATTTACAAGAAGTATGTTAGCACAAGATTTGATCGGCGTTCGACGTTTACGCGATTCGAGGGCGTCTGTCGGAGAGAGTTGGCCTTTTGTTCACATTCGCAAAATGCGCGCAAGTGAGACACCAGTAACTCGTACCGTCTTCTCTTTTTGAGCCAAGCAGGCTTCCAAATTTACTCGGATTCCAAAGATCAGACCCGTTCCTTTCGCTGCGCTGTGTTGCGCCACTTCTGTGCTCGAAACGAGACTATACACTCCGGACTTCACAAAAGAAGAAGTAAAAAGAAGGATTTTGCACAGTGTGTAAAATACAGCCGAAAGAAGCGGATCTGCATGGAAGTCGAGACAAAGTAATGACAGTTTTTTTTGCTTCCCTTTTTTTCTGAAAGTCAGTATATATCCGCTTCGTTACGGGAATGATTATTTAATACTTCACTCTTACGATTGTTCATTTAAACTGAGTGTCACGCGTCAGACGAGAGACAATAAAAAGAGAGACAAGGGGAAAAAGCAGATTCCTCCAGCAGTTTGAGCAATGTAAGCAATGACACGACTACAGCGACATAATACGTTTATGGATAAAGTAATAAGAGCCTTAGAACACTGCGAGATGATGGAATTTGCGCAGAGCTTTTCGCCTACGTAGGAGTAAGATTACTACGTTAGAGATTTTTTTTTTCTACAACGTCATATTTAGAGCTTGTAAAACGAGCTGTGTATAATTTCTCTATAGATTCACTGTCGTGTTTGGATTATCCTTGTCTTGTATCTCGCTAGCGAAACATGCTACTTGCGCCACGAGGCATTTCGTGTATCTTTCGGGAGCAACGACACCGCGCAAATAGGAGAACCCTATATTTCGCTTTCTTAGGATCAACGAAGCTATGAGTTGAATTATAAATGTAAAGCTTATTGTTAGTCGACTCCCTTTGTAGTAAGTCACGTGTTATATCGGCCACTTTATCTCCAAAGGTGCATCACTAAATTGCTAGATTTGCGTTGTGTATAGTTTCTCTTAGTTGCCGAGCCGACTGCACACATCTCCCTTCGAGTCTTTGCGTCTTTTCATCTGTAAAAAGAAAAGAAAATCATCGAACGAGAATCGCGTTCGCGTCTGCTGAGAAGATTCGATCTAATTTCGATGCTAATCTCTATTCGATATATTTTTATGCGATACCAAGATATAATCGCAATAAAAGCAGGTTTTACTTGAAAAATCTGAAGGATCTGGGACTATACATTATTTTAGCAAGACTCATCACTGTATTGTTGTTCTGCAATTGATCATCATAATCAATTTTATACCCGAAACCCGAGTCAAACCTGTCCTTTTGTACAGCATTTCATTGGTTGGATGTGCCTGAATCCCTCCAATCATCTCCGTTTCTGCAAATACGTTCGTGTCTTGTATAAGACGTCTTCGGCGCGATCCTCGCGTTTTAACTTATTAACGTCGAAAAATATATCGTTATATCGTCGATCGATGTGACTTTCTTTTTTTTTTCATCTAACGTAAGCTTACAAATAATATTTGCCACATTGTGTTACCACTAATTACCTTGACCGTTGCGCTTCCGATGATATAGCACTTCCGTTCGTACTGAAATGATGGGAATTTTCAAAGTAAATTTTACAACGGAATAACGCCGCGCGTATAGTTACCTTTTCTTTGCCGGAGCGAAGTCATCCCATTCACTAAGATCGTATTTGGATAAGTCGCCGTCTTCTTCATCATCCTCCTCTTCGTCCTCCTGTAATTTACGATGTCCATCGTGCAACATGAACCATAATTTTAATTTGCACAATTGAAGAGTGTATGATTCATCGATTCTTTTTCTTATACCATACTTTTCAATTCGCATCGTTTTTAGGAGGATGTTGAATCATAATACAGTTTTTGAATTTTACACTATTTTTCTATTTTTAGTTGTGTAGAATTGCAAATACTTTTATAGAGTGAAAGTACAAATATCAAATGCATGAAAGACATACAAATGACAAGATTTACAAAATTTATAATGTATTTTAATCATATCAAAAGTGAAAAAATTTCGCAAATAAAAAAATATTTTTTTGTTTTTAATATCTTTTCATGCATTGACACTTATGTTTTCACTCTATAAAAACATTTACAATTCTATGCAAACAAATATGAAAACAGTGTAAACTATAAAACTATTATATTGGTATACAGCATCCCTTTAAGTATAAAATTGTTTTAAAATGTAATTTTAATATAATTTTACATGTTAAAATGTAATTTTAAGATTACATTTCAAAATCACATTTTTAATAAGATGGCCACAGGCCATTAGATGTTTTGAATAATGTTAAATTACATTTTCTTCTGCCTGCTCATCGTCGTCCACCTCGTTCCTCTCGTCCTTGTCTTTGGATTTACTGCGTGAAGGACTGCTGTATTTGGAATCCTTAGAGTCATCGTCGGAGCGATTTTCGAGTTTCCGCTTTTTCTTACGTCGCCCGAACTCGTCGTACTCGTCGTCCTCATCCCGTCTCTCTTTATACTCGACGACTCCTCGGTCGTTGTACCCGCCTCCATATCCCGTGCGCTCCTCTATCTCGCCGAATTTCGGGGCGTTGCACATGTTACACTGTTGACGACGAGCCCAGTTAACGTTCCCGCACTTACTGCATTGCCAGTCGTCTGCACTGAAATAGAGTTTTCACTTGTGAATATGCAATATAAGCAATGATTTCAAGCTCGAAGAAGTAACATTGAGATGTAATGATATGTAAGATAACATTGTACATTGCTGCTAGATCAGCTGGTTTTACATATACATGTACAAACTTCAAAACTGTCGATGCTTGTTCCAATAGACTGAGAAGTACACGTGGACAAAGTGTCGGCATTGATTTCAATTCTTATTCTCGCTTTCTTCTCTTTTTCTCTTTCTCTCTCTCTTTCTCTATTTCTCTATATGTAATTATCATATCTATTAGGTGTTATTGTACAATGAAATATGTATAGTTTTGCATACAGTTATAAATCCTTGTAGACTTATTATCCTTGTATATTACTATTATGAAATAATTGCATGAAATAAAACACTACCTAAAGAGACCCCTGCTTTTTTCTGCAGCAGCTTTTCCAATTTCTTGACCCAATTTTTTCTTCTTTGGACATTCACCTCTATCTACATTAAAAGATATTATTACATATCAAATGCATATGTTTGTGAACGGTGTAGTAGATGTTTATACTACCAATACTGATAGTAAACAATGGAATACAGCAGAGAGAATGTATCCAATATATAAGTACATATGATAGTATTCTACATTTAGCAGGAGTTTTGAGTTATTAGCTAGGACGAGTGAATAAGAACTCACGAAATTTCTTATATCAGCATATTTTTTTAATATTCCAACCTTGCTTGATTGCATACCTTTGCCACAGCGATTGCAGGAGTTTCGTCGGGCGAAGTTAATATTGGCACATCTGGGAAAAAAGACCCACGTGCTTGAGTTAAACGCGTAATGCTCTGAGATGATAGAGAAAGGAAAGAAACGCGGTTACCGCTCCCTCACGCTATCTCACTACTACCCACGTATGCGTAGAGCGTCGACCGCGGTCATAAAGCAAAATTACACATACTGAGAGTCGGGGCAGACCCAGTCGCCGTCATTGACGCTACGCTGGTTCTCGTCGTCCACTTTACCGCCGTCCATGTCGACCGTTGCTTGCAGTGATCGTCCAATGAGCACTGTTCCAGCCGCTTCTACGAAGTCAACCTCGCTCGCACCTTGTGTCTAACCTTGCGTGGACGTTTGTCTCTATTTGTCCTGAACACGATTCTGACGTTCGCCAGTGATTTCGCCGTCGTGAGTGACGTCGAAATCACGATATCCTTCGCTACGTCGCACAATTATGCATTTACTGCATAATGTCCCGAACACGAGCGAGCCCGGCCGACTCAACGGAGGCTACGGAGGCTGCGGAGAAGAGCATTAGTCGCGCTACTATCATTAGAGGCCGTCGGCCGTGCGACTCGGCCGATAGCGCCGCGATATTTAGTGCAATAGATCTGCTGGTGCAGCGAGTTGTAATTTTCAGCTGAACCCTCTGCACTGGTGCAACGTATGCGCACTGAGGCGTTCATTTTGGCGCAGCTGACGTCACGACACGGTTCCTCCGCGAGAGGTGCGATGGTACAATAGGTCCATTAAGCTGGCCACACACACTTTTCGTAAAGGCCATCACACACAAAATTCCGTAAGAACTTAAAACGTAAGCGTAAAGAAATCGACCAATCCCTCGAGCACTCGGCTCTTCGTAATTCCTCCATTATTACGAAGAGCCGAATACTCGATTGGGATTAGTCGATTTCTTTATGCTTAACGATGACCTTAACAATAACCGTAAGAATTGACCAATCATCTTGAGAATCATCGAATCGTAGGTCGCCATTTTTATGAATACTCGATCGCAATTGGTCAATTCTTACGTTACGTCTAATGCAGGATTCACACAGCGTCGATGTCCGACGTACGACGTCCGATATCTAATAAAAGAATAGCTTTCCAATGGAGAATTGAATTTTATATTAGAAAGCTGTTCTCCTATTGGATATTGGACGTCGTACGTCGGACATTGGACGCGGTGTGAATCCTGCATTAGATTGATACTACATGTGTTGTACAAGCTTTTCGCTTACGTTGATTGGTTGACAAACAGAAAACCTAGAAATACTTTATTCGTCAACCAATAACGTATCCGAAAAGCTTATCGTACGACACATAATATTAACCTTACGGTTACTGTTACGAAAAATGTGTGTGGCCAGCTTTAAGCCTGTCTACAATACGTCGTACGTCGCTAACGAATACAGTTGATGGGCCAATCAGAGAATTTGTTTTTCGAGACGAGTTCTCCTGATTAGACCATTGATTGCGTCCCGACTCCGACGTATCGTAGAACGGGCCTTAGGCCTTCACACAAATGACCATAACCGTAACCATAAGACGTAAACTTAAGCTGAAGAACCAATCAGAATATTGCTATAGATTTATGTATTCCAAAAGACTATAAAAGTGACACCAAGTTTTAACTTACGCAGAAATAACTAGATTTCAATCGGTTGAAATCTAATTAATTCTGCGTAAGATAAAACTAGGGGTGCGGTCCAACAACCGCTACAAATGCTGTGCAGCGTTTCTTCCTCTTGTTCTATTCCTCGAATTCGAATGAAGAAAGAGAAAGAAGTAAAAACGCTACAAAGCATTTGCAGCGCTCGCTGGAACGTACCCTTGGTATCACTTTTATAGTCTTTTGCATGGACGTAGGAATATCTGGAGCGTATTTTGCGGAGAGTGAAGTCACAAGGGTGAGAGGAATGAAAGTCAGAAGTGATCACCAAATATGGCGGCGGCCTATATCACGGAGCACAATAGCTGCGTTCGGCATTGTAAATCGAAGATTATGTCGGATTGCTCTTTTACCTCAGAAAAATACACAGAAGTGAGAGAGATACGAGATCTCGTATCTTTTTCATTTCTATGCATCTTCGAGATGAAAGAGCAATCTGACATCTTCGATTTACAATGTCGAACGCAGCTATTGTTTATCTTGGTATAGTGTATTGGAAAATGTACAAAATGAATACGTGTGTATAAGTGTGTGTAAATATAAAGTTTTACCCTGATTGCAATTGTCTGTTATATTAAAACATACTTGTGAAATGATAGTCTTTTACCATTTTTACGTTCCTATTCTAATTGTATTTTATTTTTCCGGCTTTTCGGTTCTCCGGATTTTACAATGTTTCGCGTAACAATCCGGTATTTTCTACTACGAAAATATAGTCCTATCCATAAGGACCTTTCACCAAAGGACAAAGGTTAAAATCCTCGATCTATGTATACACATATGTCATATGTCACTTTTGATCACCAAAGATGGCCGCGAAGTTTCTCCTCACCGCGCTGACTTTATATCCCGCGCTCATAAAAATATTTTACATTCCGTCCAGATATTCCTACGTCCATGTGCCAGACTACTCCTTCCACTCGGTGCGGTATTTGGGATTGTTGTCCTCCTGCAGGATCCAGTTCTCGTTGTTTTTGATGAACCAACGTTCGGCAGTCGGTAATAAAGATTTTTTTGTATATTTCGAGCATTTTCGGAGCATTCAAATTGTAAGTAAACAGATGCAAAGCTCCGAAACTCAGTTTTGAAAAGCAGTCCCAAAAATGCAAAAACCTTTACTGGGTGTTTAACGGTCCGCTGTATCAACCTGTTGGTGGAAGTTAACCAGGCTCGTGGAGCGATAACATATCCCCAAATAGAAGCTTCATCTGAAAAAATTAAATTGCTCCAATCTCGGTCAATATTGTCCTTCGCCTAAGTGAGTCGCTTCGTCACGTGCTTCTCACCTAACAACGGTTTTTTCATTGTACTGCGCCATTTGATATCATGAGCACGGAGATGGGTTCAGATAGCTTCGTGTATTATATCTAAACCTTTCTGCTTCAATTTTGCTGTTCCTTGTTCCGCAGTGTTAAGCCAGGATTCCGCGAAAACAAGTTCACTATCATTTTATTGGCTTTAAGGAACACTTTGCCTATCGAGCCACGTTCAAGCAAGTCATCGACAGTTTTCGTTTCTTTGTATCGCTGAACCCACTTACTCACGAATGATTTCGACTTCCCCATGTATTTAGCCGCTGCTGCATGAGACATTTTCGGACCTTTCGGGTGGGAACAGAGGAACATAGTCTCGTAGCGCAACGCGTACGCGGCATTCATGGCGTTTTACGTGTTTATCTGACAAAACTTCAATGTCAACTGAATTTTTCTTGACAATGCATGAAGAGCAAAAGTTCCCTCTATCCACTCACAAAAAAATTAGAACGATACCTTTTACTGACTGCTAGTTATGCCGCACACACTCTTACTTGACAGACTGTATGCTTAACTATAACTTATAGTAGAAGCAATATAGATGATTATTATTCTACTGTTACTTCGTAAAAATTATTGACCTAAAAGACTGTTACATATTAGGAAACGTGGCATAGAAGAAAAAATTGTATTCACTACACCGTTTTCCTTTATAGAAATATCATACTAAGAATCATTGATAATTACTTATTATCCAGTATTTTTAATATTGAAAATAAGTAATTATCAATGATTCTTAGTATGATATTTCTATAAGGGTTGTTTTGAGTATAGACCAGAAAACTGCAGTTTTATGCTTTGAGTAGCATTGTACTCCGTCAAATGTGACAACGTATCATGAAATTAGAATTAGAATTTTTAATGTTCTATTTGTTCGCATATGTTCAAATTAACACATTTGCATTGGAAATGTATAATTACGTTTACTTAACTGCATTTTAGTTCTCGTCACTTCGTATTGTATATAGTTTATCTCTCACTTTTTTGCTATAAAATAATGTTTTATTGTCAAATAAACGATGAGTCTCTTTTTTTGTATTGTTATCGCATTTGGAAAATTTCCTGCACTCTTTATCGCATTTCCCGACAATGTTGAAGCATCGATGAATAAGGAAGGAAATTGATGATAGGGTGATCATATGACGAGTCTGCATCTTGACCAAAGTAATTTATTTGTTTCATTAAAAACTTAGACGTTGGAATGCGACTTCTACACGTGTGACGGGTATAATATGTAAAACTACACGCTACGATATTTATATTTATAATTATATGCTTCTTTTTTTATGATTCCTCACTGGTCAACGTAAATATATCATGTATATGATAATAGAATAATAGCGGCTTAGTGTTTGATAGCGATAATTAAACCTCCAATGCGCTAACTACCGCGTGCTGTCCCCCTGCATTGATTTACAAGCGAACGGATTTTTAGGCCAGGACGCAATGATACGTGAAAAACGAAGAGTGAGAGATGAAAACGAAGAGCAAAATATACCGTAAATAAAAATCCATTCTCTCGAGATTCTACGGTACCCCAAAATTCTACGAGCGAATTTCACCAAACTCCAATTGAACTAATCAGTGAACAATCAGCAAAATCGCCAACATCAAACTGCATTTATATAATTTGTCGTTCAATAAAAAACGGGAAATTTATACTATCTTAACATAAAAATTTGATTAACCTAATAATTTCTTTTCCATCAAAACAGAGCAAGTAATATTGACTGGTAACAGTTTTAGTTGATTAATCGGTGTTTGATGAAAGTCACCATAAACTTCACATCATTCTGATTATAATCGTAATTTCAGATGATCTAGAATTCTTCGCAGTTTAGATATAGAGGGACAGTCGAACTCCGAAGATGCACCAAAGTCCAACATTCATGCGTTTTTATCTGTCAGTCGTTCTTATGAGACAGTATAAGGTGCATACGCAATGTATGAGAGACAAGTGTTCAGAAGACATCTAAGAAGTATCTTATTTTTTATCGGACGTCTCTTAGGCCCATATTAATAGTTAGCACTTGAGACTATTCTTACATGAGATATTCAGTTGAATTATATGATACATTACATTTGTAATCGCGATTCAACTCACGTCTAATTCTGTCGTCTGTATTAAGTTATTACACGAAATTTGTCTCAAATTTGGAACTTAGAATTAGATGAGTTTTTCAAATGAATCGCGATTACAGATATAAATGTTATATATACCATATAATTCGAATAAAAAACTCTAACTCTGAATAAAAATCTCACATAAGTATGTTGGACTTATTTAATTTATTTACAGAAATATTAATGAAGAATCCACTGTGTTCATAAAGATCCAGACAAATTAGGAAGTATTATGTTGGTGATTTAACAAAAGATAACTTCAGTTACATCAAGGAGAAGCATAAGATCTTTGCATATAAGAAAATTTTGAAAAGGTTAAATAACGTCTCAAATTGCTCACTAAAATAACAGAAGACTGTTTAAAAATTATATGAAGTTGAACTCTATGCTACGAAAATTAGGAGATAGATACTTATCACGAGGGGTAGCTAACTGATACAAACAGATAAATAGAATTCTAGAATAGCGTTAAAGTCAACGGATCATTAATACTTAAAAACTATTCACGTAGATACTTCACATGAGACAAATTTCAGATGACAACTATTAACGGGCCTAAACTGAAATCTAAGGCTCATAT